AGTTTCTTGTTAATAGAACACCACTGTTACAGTTAAATGTGTTTGGTTTCTTAGTAATAGGACATCACTGTTACAGTTAAATGTGTTTGGTTTCTTAGTAGTAGAACATCACTGTTACAGTTAAATGTGTTTGGTTTCTTAGTAATAGGACATCACTGTTACAGTTAAATGTGTTTGGTTTCTTAGTAGTAGAACATCACTGTTACAGTTAAATGTGTTTAGTTTCTTGGTTATAGAACACCACTGTTACAGTTAAATGTGTTTGGTTTCTTGGTATTAGGACATCACTGTTACAGTTAAATGTGTTTGGTTTCTTGCTAATAGGACATCACTGTCACAGTTAAATGTGTTTGGTTTCTTAGTAGTAGAACATCACTGATACAGTTAAATGTGTTTGGTTTCTTGGTAATAGAACATCACTGTTACAGTTAAATGTGTTTGGTTTCTTGGTAATAGGACATCACTGTTACAGTTAAATGTGTTTGGTTTCTTAGTAGTAGAACATCACTGTTACAGTTAAATGTGTTTGGTTTCTTGGTAATAGAACATCACTGTTACAGTTAAATGTGTTTGGTTTCTTGGTAATAGAACATCACTGTTACAGTTTAATGTGTTTGGTTTCTTGGTAGTAGAACATCACTATTACAGTTAAATGTGTTTTGTTTCTTGGTTATAGAACACCACTGTTACAGTTAAATGAGTTTGGTTTCTTAGTAGTAGAACATCACTGTTACAGTTAAATGTGTTTGGTTTCTTGGTAATAGAACATCACTGTTACAGTTAAATGTGTTTGGTTTCTTGGTAATAGAACATCACTGTTACAGTTAAATGTGTTTGGTTTCTTAGTAATAGAACATCACTGTTACAGTTAAATGTGTTTGGTTTCTTAGTAGTAGAACATCACTATTACAGTTAAATGTGTTTGGTTTCTTGGTAATAGAACATCACTGTTACAGTTAAATGTGTTTGGTTTCTTGGTAATAGAACATCACTGTTACAGTTAAATGTGTTTGGTTTCTTGTTAATAGAACATCACTGTTACAGTTAAATGTGTTTGGTTTCTTGGTAATAGGACATCACTGTTACAGTTAAATGTGTTTGGTTTCTTGGTAATAGGACATCACTGTTACAGTTAAATGTGTTTGGTTTCTTGGTAATTGAACATCACTGTTACAGTTAAATGTGTTTGGTTTCTTCGTAATAGAACATCACTGTTACAGTTAAATGTGTTTGGTTTCTTGGTAATAGAACATCATGGTTGCACTCATGTGTGTTTGGTTCGCTGTTACAGTTAAATATGTTTGGTTTCATTTTAGTAGATCATCGCAGTTACACTTGAGTGTGTTTGGTTTCATGGTAATAGAACATCACGGTTGCAGTCATGTGTGTTGGATTTCCTGGTAGCAGAACATCACTGTTACAGATAAATGTTACTTTTCTCTCACAGATGCTGGAATCAAGGGCAGACATTTTAAGAGACTACATTTTGACAACCTTATGTCAAAATTGAAACTAAAGTAAGAGGATGCCTTACATTTCTTTGAAATTGCCTGTGGTAGATATGTTTTATGTCTTTATAGTAGCCCTCACTCATCTGGGACAGCAACGTACATCATAGCAGTTGTGGGGTCCCCAGTCTTATCTGTTTTGTCATGTTGAACTCCCCATATAGAGTGTTTCCTTTAAAATCAAAGTGCATCTACCTGAGAGGCGAGGAACCAACAGTTTGCATACAAATGAGCCAAATGAGTAAAATGGATAAGCATGCAAAACTCAAAACTAAAGTCCAGAAGTGGATGAATAATCAGAACTTTCCATCAGAGTTTACATAATGTGAGGAGAAAGAAAAAGTACTGTTGAACAGGCTGCTTGGAATATTTTCCTTTAGTTGATAACTGAAATATGATGTCAGACCTTTGGTTTAGCGGTCACAGAGGGTGGTAATATCATCATCCTCGTGTGCCATTAAGCGTAGGCTGTGCCCAGAATCCTGGATCAGTTCAGTGTTTTGTCTTGCCCCATTCATTTGGCCAAGCCATCCAGGTATTTATCTCTTTGCCTTTCTCTTGCTCTCTTTCCATCAATCTTGCCAGTTTTTTCAAAATTCTTTAGCTTATTTCTTCTTGTAACATGTCCAGAAAACATTGACCATCTATGTCTAATTGTTCTAATAAGTTTACAACTTTCATCTGTCGGCCAACACATCCGACTTCTGCTGGCATTTGTTGACTGGGTTAGCCTTCTCGGGTTAGTTTCATGGGACATTCCAGTCCCATTATTGTGTGATCATCTTTGGAAACCATACCAGTAGCCAAGCTACCGTCGATATAGCTCTTAGGGTCACTGGAACACTCAAGCTCCTTTACCTCTTCAGGGCGGAGACACATCAGAGGTGATTGTGCCATTATAGGTCGCATATTTCTCCATTCCGTTCTGTTCTTTGTGATCACTTTGATCAATGCAGTCCAGTTCAGCACCTTTGGCTTCTGTCGTGAATGTTTGCTTTAGGGTTAATCTTTGAGGTCCTCATTTTCTCAATCCCCCAGTTTCCCATTTCAGTACCTGTCTGATGGTCCCTGCTCAGCTCTTCTCAGATTGTGCCCTATATAGCACCATCTTCTTCCCTTATAACTATTGATACTAGTGGTTGTGCAGACAATTCTCTTATTTCTTAAATTATCTTAAATTTATCCCATTTTATGTTCATCATTTTTGTCAAGCATTGGTATTCTTAGGCATTAAACTTTTGTTCCATATCTTTATGTAATTATATAATACACAGGATTTTCCCCTAGTTCTGGGTTGACCCAACCACATTTAAAAAAAAAAAACTAGGTACAAAGAAATTTTGAGAATTGTCTGAGGATAATCTGAAAAGTGACAAGGAAGGAAAGTGGATACCCCATCTCATATGTCATGGCCTAGAATATGAAAAAGCTGCAACCTTACATCTTATGTCATAGCTTAGAATATGTGAAAGCTGACATCCCACATGTTATGTCATGTCTAGAATATGCAAAAGCTGACATCACACATGTTATTTCATGTCTAGAATATGTGAAAGCTGACACCCCACATGTTATTTCATGTCTAGAATATGTGAAAGCTGACACCCCACATGTTATTTCATGTCTAGAATATGTGAAAGCTGACACCCCACATGTTATTTCATGTCTAGAATATGTGAAAGCTGACACCCCACATGTTATGTCTAGAATATGTGAAAGCTGACACCCCACATGTTATTTCATGTCTAGAATATGTGAAAGCTGACACCCCACATGTTATGTCTAGAATATGTGAAAGCTGACACCCCACATGTTATTTCATGTCTAGAATATGTGAAAGCTGACACCCCACATGTTATGTCAAGAATATGTGAAAGCTGACACCCCACATGTTATGTCTAGAATATGTGAAAGCTGACACCCCACATGTTATTTCATGTCTAGAATATGTGAAAGCTGACACCCCACATGTTATGTCTAGAATATGTGAAAGCTGACACCCCACATGTTATGTCTAGAATATGTGAAAGCTGACACCCCACATGTTATGTCTAGAATATGTGAAAGCTGACACCCCACATGTTATTTCATGTCTAGAATATGTGAAAGCTGACACCCCACATGTTATGTCTAGAATATGTGAAAGCTGACATCCCACATGTTATGTCATGTCTAGAATATGTGAAAGCTGACATCCCACATGTTATGTCATGTCTAGAATATGTGAAAGCTGACACCCCACATGTTATTTCATGTCTAGAATATGTGAAAGCTGACACCCCACATGTTATTTCATGTCTAGAATAGGGAAAGGCTGACACCCCACATGTTATGTCTAGAATATGTGAAAGCTGACACCCCACATGTTATGTCTAGAATATGTGAAAGCTGACACCCCACATGTTGTGTAATGTCTAGAATATGTGAAAGCTGACATCCCACATGTTATATCATGTCTAGAATAGGGGAAGGCTGACACCCCACATCTTATGTCATTGCTTAGAATATGTGAAAGCTGACACCCCACATGTTATGTCTAGAATATGTGAAAGCTGACACCCCACATGTTGTGTAATGTCTAGAATATGTGAAAGCTGACATCCCACATGTTATATCATGTCTAGAATAGGGGAAGGCTGACACCCCACATCTTATGTCATTGCTTAGAATATGTGAAAGCTGACACCCCACATCTTATGTCATTGCCTAGAATAGGGGAAGGCTGACACCCCACATCTTATGTCATTGCTTAGAATATGTGAAAGCTGACACCCCACATCTTATGTCATTGCTTAGAATATGTGAAAGCTGACACCCCACATCTTATGTCATTGCTTAGAATATGTGAAAGCTGACACCCCACATCTTATGTCATTGCTTAGAATATGTGAAAGCTGACACCCCACATCTTATGTCATTGCTTAGAATATGTGAAAGCTGACACCCCACATCTTATGTCATTGCTTAGAATAGGGGAAGGCTGACACCCCACATCTTATGTCATTGCTTAGAATATGTGAAAGCTGACACCCCACATCTTATGTCATTGCCTAGAATAGGGGAAGGCTGACACCCCACATCTTATGTCATTGCCTTGAATAGGGGAAGGCTGACACCCCACATCTTATGTCATTGCCTAGAATATGTGAAAGCTGACACCCCACATCTTATGTCATTGCCTAGAATATGTGAAAGCTGACACCCCACATCTTATGTCATTGCCTAGAATATGTGAAAGCTGACACCCCACATCTTATGTCATTGCTTAGAATATGTGAAAGCTGACACCACTGCGACATGTATCTGCTGTCAGTGTTTTTTTTTGTTTTTTTCTCTTTTTCTACACTGTAATAGACACTTTGTGGTGAATACCTAGTTCAGTGTTTTTCTGCGATACTTTTTGGGGTGAGTACAGCATTTTTTCTAGTAAAAAGCCCTGGCTTTAACTACTATAACACTTGTGTCTTTATATCTTGTGTTGCTTCTTTCAAGGTACGGAGAATGTCTGGAGGTTAAAAACTTTTTTGTGAAGATTGGATGCTGGCCTACGCCATCAGTGGGGAACCTCAAGGTATTTTCATTTTTACTACTGTTATTGTTATCACCACCACTATGATTATTACACCTGTTACTCCTGTTTTATTATAACTGTTTTTATTATTATTATTTTCACTGCTTTATTTATTGTGTTCGTTCATCTTTACCTTTTCAACTTCCTATATTTTATAGTTATTCCTGTGACTTCCCATCCAACAATGGGTGGACTTTTGGCTAAGATACTATCATCCTTGTTGGGGTTTTTTTTTTTTTTTTAAAGGGGGTGGGGGGGGGGGGGGGGGGGGTGGGGTGGGGGGGGGGGGGGGGGGGGGAGGCTCCGACTGAAACACCCAATTTTGTGTGTTTGTGTATGTGTGCACGTGTGTGTTGTCCCCCTTTCCCCCTTTTTTCCTCATTATGTTTGTTAGTTATAGTTCAGTGGAATAAATTTTTATTTTTAAAAATTAATTTAACGGTAGTCACCCTTGTTTTCATCACTGTTTGGATTCTGTAGCATAATCTGTTTACCAGCACTAGGGTATCAGTGCCAGATTTTGAAAATGATAGCAAAAGTGAAAAGACAAATTACATGTGAGATGAGATTCCTGAGAAGAGCAATTGACTTATCAAGAAGATAAGAAATTAGGGAGTCGGAAAGTGGGGATAGTAGCAGCACTAGACTTGATTAAAACACAGGGAACATTGTTGGACTATTTGAGTGTACTGTCAGCTGATTGTATACCACAGTGGGTAGTGATGTTTAGATCATGTAGATATAGACTGGTTATGAACTGGGTTATCTTCAGAGCACTCCAGACACATCCATAGGTGCTCAGATTCCCCCTTTAATATGTACATCCTCATCCACCGTTTATGGCCCCAATCACTCTGGTTTCTCTTTCACAACATATAAATCTTTTGCCTTTTACAGTAGTGCTAGTTCTGTGCTCGTTAACAAGTCTTGTATGTCTAGTGGGCCTCCCATGCCTGGCTGTGACTATCTTTACTTCCAAAGATGTTGACCATGTAAATGATGGACAGAACAGTTAAAATTGTGCTTGGGAATCCCTGTAAATTAAGCAGACAAACAAGGATTTTCCTGCTGTTTATACTTTACCTCAACACTGCTGTGTGCTTCAGAACCAAGATGAATTGAGAATTGTTATTTCTTGTTTTTGTTTTTAACACCATATATCACCTTTGATTTCAGATATTTAATGACCCAATCCACGGCAGTATCAAGCTAAATCCTATTTGCCTTGCTGTCATTGATACCCCACAATTCCAGCGGCTCCGTTACATCAAGCAGACTGGTCTGTGCTATTTCATCTACCCTGGTGCAGCCCACAACAGATTTGAACATTCTTTGGGGTAAACATTTTTCTTATCTGCCCTTTGATTGTAAAATCTGATTGCAGTTCAGTTGTAACAGGACAGCCCATTGTTTCCACTGTTGCATGTTTTTGCCTCACATGAAACAAAAAAAATAGCTGTAGAAATATAGGATGATGGTGTACTAGTATGTTGTATTTATTTTTATTTTGTTTTTAAATATTTATTTAATCTTTGTCACCCCATTATGGTTTGGCTGTCTTCTTCTTCTTCTTCTTTGCGTTCACCAGCTGTAAACTGCAGCAGAAAGTTCTAGGTGTTTGTCCACCTCTGGAGGTAAGTTTTACTCCATAACCTGGGTGTTGCATGCACATCCATTTTAAACATCTGGCTTATTTGTATGCCGACTTGTGGTTCCTTGCTTCTCAGGCAGAAGTACTTTGAAGAAAACACCCTAATTATTGTGTTTTACAACATAATTGTAAGGGGCAGTGTATCTGTTCTTTATTAAGCACAGAGCGAAAGGAAGACCACGTAAATGCTGTAACTATTGCATCCAGAACAACCTTAGAGAAATGCAGGCTAACTTACACATTGCATTAGAAAGAGCAAACAGTCGTAGTGTCATTTTGGAGATATGTAACTTTGGTATGTAAATGCAACATTAACCTTAAATGAAAATTCACTAATAAAATTGCAACATTAATAGTGTCAGTGCAGTTTTAAAATTGCAGATACAGTTTGTGTTTCTTTTGATGTAACTTTGGTAGTGTGAATGTAATTTTGATAGAATCAGTGTAACTTTAGTGATATAAGTTCATCTGTAATAATATGAATGGAACTTGAATAAGTTTAGCACAGTAGTAGAAATTTAACTTTTTAATTATAATTTAACTTTAGTAGTTTTCTTCTTCAGCATTCTGAGCCCTTGAGGTGCATTGCTGCAAATATTACCAACCTCCATTCATCTCTGTAACTGGTTTTCTCTTTCCACTTTGTGACTCCCAAGTGCTTGTAGGTCTGCCTGGATATTCTCTTTCCACCTTCTTGGTCTGCCTCATGGTTTGCTCTTTTTTAACTCCCTTGTGTACACTTTTTTTTTGCCTCAGTAATTCTTTCTGTAAGCCTCAGCTGTTTCAGTCTATTAGCCCTAGCGATGCCAGTGATTGGCAGTAATTTAAACAGAATTATTAACTTCATTGTTGCTTTTTCTCTCCATTCCCCACTGTTTGTATCTTTGAGGGGCGCCAAAGAGTTTTTGTAAGACTAAGAGGCTTCATCTCTTTTAGTAAAACAACCACCCTCAGTCTACTTGATGATGAATACCTATGGGTACTTTAGGTTCATGTCTACACAGATGGGTCAGCACAAAATGCAAGCAGAAATAGAGAAGCAGGAGTATACATTGAGCACCAAAATAACACCATGCACACAGCCAAAATACCAACAGGAAAGCACTATCACATTTATGATGCAGAAGTTCAAGCTGCCAAGATATCAGCAGAGAAGTGCTAAAGACCAGTCATATTTCACAACCTATCAAATTCCTGGCAGATGCAAAAACTTCAGGCATTTCAGTCAGGAAAATTACCATAAGTACGGACATTACTCTGATTCCTGAAAATGAGAAAGCTGATATTAACTAGCTAAGGAAATTGCGGATGAAGAACAGCCTGATGTACCAGTCTCTTGTCAAGAACAATCAAATTAGGGACCAAAAATTATGATCATGCTAACTGAGTGTTCTTCTTAAGTTAGTTTGTATTAATGAGGTTTTCCTGCATAACTGCTTAAATAAAATCAGTGTTGCTTTAACAATCTAAGTGCATAATTTATTAGTATCATAATACTTTTAGTAGTAAAAATGCTCGTCACTTTAGTAGCTGAAGTGCAGCATTTTTTGGGATGTTAGTAGTAGAAGTGCATCCTTAATAATATAATGGTATGCTCAAGGCCCCCACCAGATATTTCAATAATCCCATGATGTCTGCAAAAGCAGCGATGTAATTTATGGATATCTTCTGTCTGCCAGAGTCTGCTACTTGGCAGGAGAGTTTATACGAACATTGAAGACCAACCAGCCTGAACTTGGAATTGATGAGAAGGATGTTTTCTGTTTGGAACTTGCTGGGCTGTGTCATGATCTTGGTGGGTAGCTTCTTGTGAAATTTAGCAGAGCATTTTCAAGAATAATATTTATAAAGATATTTACATAAATTAGAATATGGAAACAACACACCTGAAAGAAAGATACAAACAAGAAAGAATTATATTTTCTAACAGTTAAGGCTAAATAGGATGTCTGGTTAAGACCCAAAGACAATTGAGTATCAGAAGAAAAATTTGAACATATAGCAACAAGTAAGATTTATGGGAAAAGACATAACCTCGGCTTGCAGTGTTGATATGATCAAGAGAGACAGACACAAAAATACTGTCCCGACCAGCGGCAAAGTCATCTACCAACGAGCCAATAGTGGATGATACAACCTGAGTATCATAGTGTATCAAGCTACAAAGATTCTTCTCAGTGACAGTATTTAAAAGCCACAATTACAAGAGACATGTCATATCAACTTTATTTGTTTTGTAGTATCACCATATATCTGAAAATACAAATTACAGCAGAAACTGTGACTAGAAAACTCAGCAGGGGAAATAGGAAGGACATGCACAAATACAGCTGAATTTTTCCACCAAAGTCTTTAACAACAGAGTACTAAATACTACACAGACTGTAGTTAGAAAACTCTATGGGCAAGATGAGAGTTTGAAAACAACTACAATTTCTCCTTAACTTGCCACCTGTGCGAATTATAATCATCTGTACTTATGACAACATAACAACAAAAAATAGTCCATAAAGAATGGTAACTGCAGTAATAAGTTCATAATTTTGCAGGATCCAATGCCAAGAGTGTATATAGATGCCCTAATCTTAGTTTTAATTTCAGTCGAGGTTTCAACTTCACTGCAGTCAAGTTTCCCCATACCTGCTCCATTCCTGTGCCAGTAAAAATCAAATGAAATGTCCCTCACTGTTCTATTTGAAAAACTGGTGAACAAACAATTAGTCCCGACACAATCCAGAAATATTTGCACACAGTAAATGCATATTGCGGTTGCTAGAGATACCAAAGCCAACAGTCACCACCAGAAATGCAGTTTTTCATTGATGGAAATAGTCAGCACAATAAGTTGGACTATACACACATAATATTATTACATAAGGTATTTCACCAGCTCACATGTAAACCGGCTACCGACCATATTGAATGCCACATCATGACAGCTGTACACATGAAAGGCATTCCACATGAAAAACACAGCAGCTCACAGGGCTGCACCAAGCACTAAACTCAAGCTGCAAAACTGTAGACAACTGGCCTTGTATGGACACTGCATAAGCAAAGTGCTGTCTGGTGTACATAGATGCCTGTATATAATAATTATACATACATAGAATGATTTTGTGTGTGTGTTTTATATAAAATTTGTATAACCTTTTTGGATGAAAATAGTGTTGTAAAATATAAGTTTGATCTGTGACCTGATCCACTTATGACTTGTTAGTTAGAATGTAACTCAATCGTAAGTCAGAGAGACCCTGTTTTGTCTTGTCAGTTCAGTTACCTAGTCACAGTTTGGGTTGTATTTATTATTTCTTGATAACAGCTGGACTGCAATCATTATTATTTACTCCATATATCTGGATGTTTTCCATTCTTTTACCTCAGGCCATGGTCCTTTCTCACATGTGTTTGATGCCAAATTTATACCTCAAGTTAGGAAAACACCCTGGAAGGCACATAATTCGTTAACGGAAACACCCTGGAAGGTACACAATCTGTTAATGTTTGTATTATGTTTAGACAATGTTGTCCTTCAGTTGATGTTTGTTTTTAGCACACGTAATGATGGTAAAATATTTTTGAAAACATTCAACACAAACTATGGAACGCACAGTTTATTGCTTGGTATATTTCGCTGCTTCTTCTCAGGTTATATTTGAATGTAATGAAACAAATAAATGAAATTTGAATATAATGAAAGAAATAAATAAAATTTAAATCTAATGAAACAAATAAATGAATTTTGAATGTAATGAAGCAAATAAATGAATTCTTTTAACTAAAATGCAGAATTAACTATACTCAAAGGTTACTGAATGTTTTACCGGGCAAACATAGGTTCATTGGGCAGCAACAAAGTTGCCAGCTCAGGTGCTACATCTTCCATTTCTTCTGCATGCATCCTTAAAAGAGCAGTTGGCATATGGTGTTGTAGTTTACAGCTAGGCTGCAGTAACTGCACTTTTGGCCAACCACATCCCATTCCCTTGAACTCTAATTGGTCATTCTTTTTCAGCATCAAAAAACCTTTTTTTTTAAGCTTTTTTGTTGTAAATTTAAACTAAAGTTGGAAAACATCCTAACAGTTCCATTCATGGACCAAAAACAACAACAAAGATTAAATTCCATACAGAAAAAAAAGGGAGGGGGAGGGGGGGGAAGGGGTAAAATATAAATGCTGCTGAGAAGAGAATTAACTGTGTTACTCTCTAAGCCTTTAAAAAAAAATATCCCAGTGACTCATTCTTTACCTTACTATCTGGTTACCACTAATATCATTACTGAGGAATTATGATGTCATGATTTCCATTCACAACACAAGAAAACCCTTTCTGAGTTGGGTTGAGTCAAGAATAAATATAGTGTTGTAAAATATAAGTATGGGCAGCAACACAGTTAGTTTAGGCAGCAACACAGTTAATTTAGGCAGCAACACAGTTTAGGCAGCAACACAGTTTAGGCAGCAACACAGTTAATTTAGGCAGCAACACAGTTTAGGCAGCAACACAGTTTAGGCAGCAACACAGTTAGTTTAGGCAGCAACACAGTTTAGGCAGCAACACAGTTAGTTTAGGCAGCAACACAGTTAGTTTAGGCAGCAACACAGTTAGTTTAGGCAGCAACACAGTTTAGGCAGCAACACAGTTTAGGCAGCAACACAGTTAGTTTAGGCAGCAACACAGTTAGTTTAGGCAGCAACACAGTTAGTTTAGGCAGCAACACAGTTAGTTTAGGCAGCAACACAGTTTAGACAGCAACACAGTTAGTTTAGGCAGCAACACAGTTAGTTTAGGCAGCAACACAGTTTAGGCAGCAACACAGTTAGTTTAGGCAACAACACAGTTAGTTTAGGCAACAACACAGTTAGTTTAGGCAGCAACACAGTTAGTTTAGGCAGCAACACAGTTAGTTTAGGCAGCAACACAGTTTAGGCAGCAACACAGTTTAGGCAGCAACACAGTTAGTTTAGGCAGCAACACAGTTTAGGCAGCAACACAGTTAGTTTAGGCAGCAACACAGTTAGTTTAGGCAGCAACACAGTTAGTTTAGGCAGCAACACAGTTAGTTTAGGCAGCAACACAGTTAGTTTAGGCAGCAACACAGTTAGTTTAGGCAGTAACACAGTTAGTTTAGGCAGCAACACAGTTAGTTTAGGCAGCAACACAGTTGACAGGTGACACTCCTTTCCAAATGCTTTTTTTAGAAAATGTTATGATTTGCAATAATTCTAAATGTTTATGCAGGCAGGAACAAAACCAATGCTGCTAACTAGACTTCTCATGAACAGGTCACTGTAGCAGTGCCGGTACAGTAGCATTTGTATGGGCATGACAGAAACCAACATTGCAGGGTTTTATGGTTCTCAGGGCAGGAAATGAAATGCTAGGTGTAACCAGGAAAGATCGACTTAGGAACGATGATATCAGGAGGATATTATTATGTTTATTCAACGGTAACATTGACATAGTTAATTGCTGTAACATTGACAGTCTTTATTGCGGTAACATTGACATTCTTTATTGCGGTAACATTGACAGTCTTTATTGTCTAACATTGACAATCTTTATTGCTGTAACATTGACAATCTTTATTGCTGTAACATTGACAATCTTTATTGTCTAACATTGACAATCTTTATTGCTTTAACATTGACAATCTTTATTGCTGTAACATTGACAGTCTTTATTGCTGTAACATTGACAATCTTTATTGCTGTAACATTGACAGTCTTTATTGCTGTAACATTTGCAGTCTTTATTGCTGTAACATTGACAGTCTTTATTGCTGTAACATTGACAGTTTTTATTGCAATAACATTGACAATCTTTATTGCTGTAACATTCACAGTTTTTATTGCAATAACATTGACAATCTTTATTGCTGTAACATTGGCAGTTTTTATTGCAATAACATTGACAATCTTTATTGCTGTAACATTGACAATCTTTTTTGCTGTAACATTGACAATCTTTATTGCTGTAACATTGACAATCTTTATTGCAATAACATTGACAATCTTTATTGCTGTAACATTGACAGTACTTATTGCTTTGACGTTGTTAAGCTTAATTACCGTAACTTTAACTGTTTTTATTGTGCAGCATGAAACGGCATCGAGCGATATGTTTGAGTACTTAGTTCAAGTGCATGGACTGATGAAAGAAGGTGGCATATTCAGAAAGTTTGGCCTCAGTGAGACTGACATGGATTTTATTAAAGAGCTCATGGCTGGACCAAGCAACAGAGGAAATGCTGTGTGTATTTCATTATTGTTTTGTCTTATTCATCTTTCTGTGTAACTCATAACTAGACTATAATTAAATGCTTCCCTGACAGAAATTACAATTATTAAAATATACTTCTCACAATGGAATATTACATATGACTAGTAGAAGAATCTAATATTTGACTTGGAAGACATGTTTCAGTAGATGAGTATGAACAATAAAAAAATGCTAGGATTATGGTGCAGTGGTTTGAACCAGATACACAAATGTTGATCAGTGATATTAAAATGTAAGGTATATTTTTTCCTGGAATATAAAGAACATTATTATATTGGGTACATCCTGAGAAGAAGCAAGCAGAGAATCACCAAACAAGCACTGAAATGGGACACAAATGGAATAAGGAATCAGGGTGTTTCAAAAGAAACCCTGAAATGAATGTAAGTGAGAGAAGCCAAAGGTGCTGGACTGGATTCCATCCATGATATCAGAAGGAATGCACATGATAGAATGGAATGGAGGAATAGACCGTGAGTCCCATATGATTCAATAACACAACATGATGGTGATAATACAGAACATTGCTCTCGTCACGGCCCACCTGGAAGTCTCTCTAGCCATTTTCCAGCCCTGTGTGCTTTCATAGCCAGTAAATCTTCCATGTCTTTGATCCACATTTGTGGAGGTCTGCCTCTACATCATTTTCCAGAAACTATGCTCTCCATCACTGTTCTCTCCAGGCCACCGTGACATTTAACATGGCCAAATACCTCAGCTATCGGGGCAGGATATTATTTTTGTGCCATCTTCTCCTCGATGCTGAGTTCATGTAGGATGTCAATGTTTTTCTTTTTTCTTCTTGATCCATGGTATTCTAAGAATTTCTCTATAGCCTTCCAGTTCAAAAGCTCTGATTTCTTTCTTAATGATTGAGTTTGAGTCCATGACTCACACATAAGTAACCATAGGAAAGATTTCAAAATTTTTACTTCAAGTGGCTTTGCAGAGGCTGCGCCGTTGGTTCATCATGTTATTTGATATTTTATGTAGCTACATGTTGTTTAATATTTTTTGTAGGTTGTTGAACAAACAACTTGTAAATAAATCTTACCTTGTGGTTAAAAGAAGAGCAATGATAGCCCAGCACTTGACACTCACCTGCCGGTCTAAAGGTCTCCATGTTCAAATCTGCAATGAGACAGATTTTTTAATTAAAATAACGTTGGCTGCCTGTTCGACCTCGCCTGGAATGAGCATGAAGTAATGTCCTGGACAGAAAAGGCAACCAACATGATGCGGACCATATTATCCATTGAGAGCAAATTGGTCTGTAACACGAATAGTCTAGCAGGATGTGCCTAATGTGCCAAAGGTGGTAGAAGGGTCCTTCGCTGTTGCTAAATATGTAATTACACCAGAATAAAGCAGTCCCAGTGACAACATGTATCAATAATATGGCTCCCATTGATACAATGTACACAAATTGCCAGTACTTTTCACATTGACTGTCTGTTCTTTTTGATTCCTTACTCAGCCAGCCAACCTTTCTCTTTCTTGCTTGTTTGCCAACAGGAATGGCCATACAGAGGCCGTGAAAAAGCAAAGGCCTATCTGTATGAAGTGAGTCTGCTTTATATTGTTTTGCATTTGTATGTGGGGATAATGTTATCTGAAAAGGGTTTTTCATGTATTTACTCAGAACTGCTGAATTGTTTCTCAGCTTTATTTGCTCTCTGTCTTGTTAGAATTGAACATTTTTGCGGATCTACACATATTTAAGTGAGTCTCTATGGCGCAGCGGCTAGACGCTCGCGTGCGGGTTGGAAGGTCTTGGGTTCACTCCCTGGCAGAGTGGGACTTTGTTAAAAAATCACCTGACTCTCAGGTCGACCCAGCTTTGGGTGGGTACCAGGTGCAGTCCCTGGAAGTAAAGGCGGCGGGCGTGATGCTGACCACATAATCCATCTGGTCTATAAAAATATAGGTCTATCCCTTTATGCACTATAGGCTTAAAGGCGTGGAAAGAGAACCTTTACTTTACACATATTTAAACAAAGAAGACACAAACAATAGATTGCACAATTTATTGCATGGCATATTCCGCTATATCTCATCAGGTGCATACTACAGTAACAGTTGATTAAAATAAAGCAAATAAATGAATCCTTCAAACTGAAACACAAAATTGACTACACTCAAAAGCATTCACTTGTTACTGTAGTATGAACCTGACAAGATACATGTGCTGTCTAATGTTTTTATCTTCTTTTTTTCAAATTCACCACAGGGAAAATTTGCTCGGACATAATTCATCTTTATTATCAAATTGTTTACCGCCATGTCTAGTTTTTGTTTTCATACTTCTAATTATGAATGACAGGAATTGAAACAGTTTTACAGATCTACTGGAGGATCTGCTGGCTGATTAATTAGAGCCTTGACCTCAAATGCAGGTTCCATCCTCAGTATAGGATGGAGATTTTCTTTGTTCGGGACCCCCCAAAAAATCATCACCTGCAGTTTGTGGAGCCTGGACTAGCCTTGCAGGTTTGACCATTCTGCCCTGAGAAGCCACAAAGCTGACACTTCTGGTTGGTACCATTTCCCCCTAAGAGCCGCTTTCTGGACTCACTATAGAGATAGATTAATGTGATGTCTAGTTAATAGAAGTCATTGCATCTGCCTTAACATTCAGCAGGCAGGTGGTGACTAAATTTACAAATTTTTTTTAAAAAGCATTTAATGTTATTTGTTTTTTACAAATTTGTATTCTTTGCCACATACGTTTTTATCGATTTGTTTGTGACATTCTGTAAAAGTGACATAAACGCGTTGTGCCTGTTTACAGCAGTGTTGGGATATTTGTGCCCTTCGGTCGACACATCTGACTCTCAAGCGTTTGTTGACTGGGTTAACTTCCTTGACTTGAAGAAGAAAACAAAAATGTCAAACTTAGTCCTCTTTCAGCTGCCCGAGAGCCTGCTTTATCGAGAACGGTTTCTTTGCTATCTGATTGAATTCCTTTCTGTGTGGCAATCATTTTCGCCTAAGTTAGGGTGTTTGCTGCTGCATCATGTCCGCTCGGTCAGGCTTGGCTGTCGGTTTCCAGATTTTTTGGGAGTGGATTAAGCGGCCCTAAAAAGGGCTGCCATTTTTGCCTGGGGCGGCCTGGAACGTGAAGGGCGGGGTCTCCGGTGTGCTGGCTAGTTGGGCTGTCATGGCCGCTTGGGTCTCATTGTAGCTGTCTTTTGCTATCAGGTCTGGCAATCGATGTTGAGCTGTCTGTAAAGATGGCGGCTTGTTTAGTGGGCTCTCTTTTGTGGCTTTAGAACTGGTGATAACCTCTTCTGTTGGACGTGCCTTTGTTTCCTTTGTTTTTGCTTTCGCGCGAAGTTGATTCAGGGCTGCATTTAGTTCATCGAAGAATCTGTCAACTTTTTGACTCTTTTCTATGTTTTCGGGTGGTGGGTCTTTCTTCTCGAGCTCCTCCCAGTCGTAGGTAATCGTATAGCAGCTGCCGTCTTCTTCCAACTCTAGCTTGTGCTGGTGCACTTGCTTGTTAAAGTCTTCAAGCATTGCTTGAAGGTCAGCCTCGCAGATTGCCCTGTCGGTTGCTGCTTTCTGGTTTTTGCGTTGAGTAACTGGCTGACTGGTAGCTGTTTCAGTGTTTGGATCTTCGCTTATGTGGGATCTGTCATTTGTGCCTGGTGCCTCATCGCTACCACTTCGGTTACAATGCTTTTGTCGGCCCTGCTGACATTTTGTTTTTTGGCGGCTCTCTCTCTTTCGCTCTGCAACCGGGCGCACTCTGTTCTGGCTGTCATCTCGGCCGCTTCTGCTTCTGATTTAGCCTGTACTAGTCGGGTGACTTCTCTGTAGGCTTCCTCTCTTGCCTCTCTCAGCACGCCCACCTCTCTTCTTCTCTCCTCCCTTTCCTCCTGTCTGCGTCGTTCGTCTGCTGCCTGTGCCGCTGCCAAACTTGTTAATAATGCTTTGATGCTTGCTTTGGTTTCTGCATCTTCTTTCTTGTTGTCGATCTGTTGTGCTGCGTAGGCTTTTATGTCCTCTTTCAGGGCTCCAATCTCCCCTAGCATCAGGGAGATTAGCTTGTATGTCTTTGCTTTTTCGGCGGCAGCGGCAGTTTTCTCTTTCTGTAGTTCGGATTTCAATTCCGAAATCACACGTACAAGTTCGGGATCTCTGGTGGCTGTGTTCTTCTTCTCAGGTGCTGTGGTGGTTTTTGATTGTCGGGCGGGCTGGCTTCTCGGCTGGTTTGTGCTAGTCGGGCTGGTTGGTCTGGGCGCCTGGTACCTTTTTGTTGAGTCTGGGCGGTGCGTGTTTCTTGATACGGCACTGGACACCCATCTCTTTGTGTCTTTGAGGTACAGGCAGCCCAGATACCTCGTACTGTGAGCGCCTGTGCAGTTAGAGCACCGTCTTTTGGTGTTCGGACTCTTGAAATCCTGGTTTCGTTTTTCCAGGGGGCACTCCTTGAAGTCGTGTGGACCAGAGCAGTAGCGACACACTGGGCTGCTGTGGCAGGTCGCGGCTATGTGCCATGCCCTATTGCAGAGTGAGCATTGAATGATGTCTTTGGTGTAGGCTCCAGGCTGCTGCTTTGGTAGACTGGTGCTGGAAGGTCCCTGTGCCACGACTGGGGTGGCTTTAGGTGTTGGCTCAGCGATAGGAGAGGCTTCAGGTGCTGGCACCATGATGAGGGCGGCTTCTGATGTTGGCATCCCTCTGTTAAATGAGGGAGGTGCCACGACAGGGAAGCCTTTCTCCGATGCTGGTGGAGAAGCTGCAACAATGGCGTCCACATGGCTGTGGTTAGACTTGGCTGGCATCTTCTTTGGCTTTGGTGTGGCTGCTTGTGCCTGTTTTTGTCCCCATGTCGGAAAAAATGCTGTAAATGGCGATGTGTATCGAAAGCTAGATCCCTGAAGTGTCGGCAAGCCTTGTTAAGTATCCTGAAAGGGAGCCCAAGGGTGCTTTCCCAACAGTTCACAAGACAGTCGCTTGCTAATGGTGCGTAAAACGGGCTGCTAAAACCCCACACGTAACGCCAACTACGATAACTAGTTAAGACTGACTTAGCCGAATATCTAATCTACGAATCGGTGTCTAGTATCTAGTTATCGAGAATCGGGCCACATATGGAGAGTTAGCGATCGAGCGGATGACGAGAGGTGCTGACCACTGGGCTGTCTGCACTCGAATGATGTAGGTTAACTTCCTGGATGAATATGTATTTTATAGGCAGCAGATTTGAATCAAGGAAAAGCTCATAAAAGTGGATCAACAGCAGACATAGAAGACTCTTCCTCTTCTCTTTGTTCTCCCTTCCTGTGGTGTTCAGATGAGAAGGCCACAAGCCTCTGTGAAGGCTGTGGTGCCATGCAGGTCTTCCAGTCATCTGCACAACTTGGTTTCAACCAGAAAGCCAACTAACCTAACCTGAGATCTCTTTACTGCATTATGACAGCATGTCTGCAATAAATGTTTAGTATTCTGGAATGCGTGTCCACATACAAAGTTCTGAGGCCCCGGTCTTGAATTTCTTATACAAATAGTTTAGAGTCTGTTGTGTCCTGTTTGCAATCTTCTTCTTCATTGCGTTCATCGGCTGTAAACTCCAGTGGGAAGTTCTGGTTATTTGTCTACCTCTGGACTTTAGTCTTGTTCCAGAATCTTTGTGTTGCATGCACATTCATTTATCAGATCTTACTGTATGCAGTGTTTTGGGTTCCTTGCCTCTCGGGCAGATGCATTCCGACTTCGAAGGAAGCCCCCACTTACTTAGTTGACTCCTATGACACGTTTGTTGGAGAAGCAGTGGGTCTTTTCTTGTTTTCTGGTGGATGAACAACCTGAACTTCCCACCGTAGTTTACTTCCAATGAACACGAGAAGAAGAAGAAGATCCAGTACTACAAAGATTGAGATCTGTTAAAAAAACATGAGATCAACTTTGTCATCTGGCAGGGCACATGGTTAAGATGATGATGTTCGAATGGGGTTCCTGTGTGGGTTGCGGGGTCCCATTTTGAAGGATAAAAATTATGAACTCAATGCCCTCTGATAAGCTTTAAAAGACATGGATAATTATGAATTTGCTAAAATCAGATGTTTGGGGCCAAAAGACATGGGTCTCACTTTGTGGCTGTAAACCACAACACAGTGTGCCATTTGCTCTTTTAGGGGCGATCACCGAAGATGAGGTTTGAGGTTTCGAACAAAGGATCAACATCGTGGCACACAGGTGGTAACCCATAAGTGCTTCGTTCTTCTTCTGACTCAAGTCTGAGTCCGAAGAAGCTCAGCACAGTGCACAGGCTCTGTAGCACCAGCAAGGATCCTGAAATAGTTTAGGTAGATTTTTAACTCCAGATTTTGTCTGGGCAGTGCTGTTAAGCTACTCTTTCAATTTCCAACTGCCAAAGGATTTTTTACATGCGCAACAACGCACACTGGCGTCCGGTTTCACTACCTATAGACTAGAGGAAATTTCTAGAAGTCCAAGTCCACATGAAAAAATCCCAGCCCTTACCAGGGATTCAACCTGGAACCTCTAGCACTCGGGGTGGACACCATGCCTCGAAACCACGCAGCCCCCTCACAGAAGATATAGAACAAGAATACTGGTGTGTGTAAAGCTTTCAGTTTTTATAGTCACTGTTACATTCTCTGATTTCACTTCATTCCTTTACTTCTGTGAGTGCCTGTCAGTTTGTTTCTAATTCTAAACAAAAATCTATTTTCTTTATTATTGAAATAAATTAATTTAAACATATTTGTTTGGATTAGATAGTTGCAAACAAAAGGAATTGTATCGATGTTGACAAGTGGGACTACATTGCCCGCGACTGCCACCAGCTCGGCATCAAGAATAATTTTGATTATACTCGATTCATCAAGTTTGCCAGGGTCATTGAGGTCAACGGAGAGATGCAAATTTGTATTAGAGATAAGGTAACATTACCATGTGTTTGTTACATTTTCTGTGTGTTTGTCACATTTACCCTGTGTCTGACACATTAACTCTGTGTTTGACACATTAACACTGTGTTTGACACATTAACCTTGTGTTTGACACATTAACCCTGTGTTTGTCACATTAATCCTGTGTTTGTCACATTTACTTTGTGTTTGTCAATTTTACCCTGTGTCTGACGTATTTACTTTGTGTTTGTCACATTTACCATATGTGTGTCACATTTACCCCTAGCTGAGTTGAGGCAAGAATTGCCATCACAGCACTCGGGGCATTCCCATGTGTGCTCCATCCTCATCTTCAGCAGCCAGTTCCAATACTGATGGTACCAGTCACAATCTGGTTATATGTCCGTTTTGCCTTTCCTCTGAGTGTAGTGAGCTGGCAAGACCCTCTGGTTACACCCATGTGCCTCATTCTCTCCAGGCCATAATAATCTTTATTCTCTACTGATTCTGTTGCTTGTTCCCAAAGGGCCTTGACCACATCTGCCTTGTCATGTATCAATTCACAACCCACTATTGCAAATCTGTCTGCCTGTTCATTACCCACTACGTAGGCATAGCCTAGAGAAAAGATCCCAGGTTTGCTCACTACTGTGACCTTCCCAGTGAAGCTTGCCACTCTGCTCAAAGCATCCCTGTCTTCACCTTTCTTAGCATACTTTCAGAGTCTGTTACAATTACAACATGTGAAATCATCTTGTTCTCTAGCCACTGGAGAGCTCCCGTTACTGACTCCACCTCCATTCTCATGCTAGATGTTGTGATGTCATATGCTAGGCTGTCTTGCACTAAAGATTTTCTGTTGGCTTTCGCTAGGAACACCCAGGCACTTCTCTTTCCTCTCAACACCGAACCATCTGTATAGATAATCAGATCACCTGGATGTGAATAGTTGTGAATCAACTGACGGACTTCTACCTCCATAGCACCCCTTGGCCACTCTCTGCACTCCCGGTCCAATGTGATCATAACCCTACACAGGTCAGACTTTTTCTCTGGAACTCTGACCCACTCCTCTCCTCGACCAATGTTCTCCAGCATGCATATTTGTCTTATTGTGTCTTCTGCTTGAGCAACCCACGATTGTCCCCTTTTCAGCCTCTGTCCCTTACCTGCAGCCAAAGCTGCAGCCAAACAGAGGGTGTTCTTTGTCTGCAGTTAATATTATAAATTAATAATCCCGGACGAGCCCCCATCTTGCGATGATTCTCTTTTATCTTCTACTGGCTCGCTGAGGCAACTGCCCTCCTTTCTGCAGTCCAACATCTCATCACTCAAGAACACAGAGGGCACAAAATTGTTATACTTAGTGACTCATTGCCTGTTCTCCAAGCACTATCAAACAAAAAACAAGACAAACTAATTGCAGATCTAAGGACCAACATTGGCTTACTCTCCAAGGAAGCAGAACTGGTCTTGCAGTGGATACCAGCCCACTGTGGTTTTCAAGGAAATAAGAGAGCAGATGAGTTGGCAAAAGCTGGGAGTAATCTTCCACAACCTCATCCACCACACAGCTACAAGGAAACCAAAACAGTGCTAAAGCAGTCTTTCAAGCGGGTGTGGAGAAGGCAGAATGGAGATTACAGACCAGAGAGTGATAGCATAAACAAACTCAACAGGAAAGAGCAAACATCAATTTTTAGACTTCGGACTGGACACTGTGGTCTTCGAGCACACCTGTACAGGATAGGCATAAAAGAATCTGCTGCCTGTGATTGTGGAGCAGAAAGACAGACCCCTGAGCACATACTGCAGTACTGCCCTAACCTCTCCCAGCAAATACTGTGGATCTGGCCCAGGGGATCCACATTGCGAGAGAAGCTATGGGGGACTGGTGGCGACCTTAAACACACAATCCTATTTTTGACCCAGACGGGACTCGATGTTTAGCATGACTGATGTCGAACGCAGAAGAAGAAAAAAGAAATGATAAATTTTATAATTAACCTGGGCTCCCGGGCAAACCCAGTTTAAATTTGGTACTAGGACAGTCATGGAATCATATCATCAGATGGTAAAATGTGTGACAAATATTAAAAGCAGAATAGGTCATGCGAAAGCTGCATTTCAGAAAATGAAAAATATGTCATGCAATAAATCGTTCTCAGAAGGCAAGAAAATTATGTCCACTCCTTTTTTGCTTTTCATTTTATTTACATATATGCATATATATATATATATATATATATGTGTGTGTGTGTGTGTGTGTGTGTGTGTGTGTGTGTGCGTGCGTGCGTGCGTGCGTGCGTGCGTGCGTGCGTGTGTGCGTGCGTGCGTGCGTGCGTGCGTGCGGTGCGGGCGGGCGGGCGGGCGGGCGGGCGGGCGGGCGGGCGGGCGGGCGGGTGGGTGGGGGGGGGGTGGGTGGGGTGGGTGGGGGGGGGTGCGTGTGTGCGTGCGTGCGTGCGTGTGTGTGCGTGCTTGTGGAGGGGAGATGTGGTGGGGGCCTGCAAAAATATATATGAGGCAGTAATATTTGCAGTGTATTATATCATCATCATCATGTGCCCTGCCAACTGGCATGGGCGCTCATGCATCTCCACAGATCACAATCACTGGTTGCCTGAAACAGCTCTTTTGATGATATCCCTCTATGCCATTGTTTCAGCCCATCCAGCCTCATCTCTCTTGGTCTGCCTCTACCCCTTTTTCCACTGATCATTCCAGTTGTCACAATGTTCTCTAATGTATTATACATGCCCTCATAATTTAAATTCACTGCAGGAAACATTGTTGTGGAACCAATAATTGGTCACCTTTTGTGACATGATTGTTAAAGGGCAGTGTGTCTGTTCTTTTTCCTTTAAAAATTGAATTTCTTCAAGTATTTTTGCCATCAAATATTTTTATCAGATATTTTCATCGTCGGTTATCTTTGTCAACATCTCCTGATTATCTTTGTCATCATCTCCTGATTATCATTGTCATCATCTCCTGAAAGAGGTAACCCATTCCTCACACATTACATTTGTGTCTGCAGGAGCTGGTGAACCTGTACAATATGTTCTCTACCCGTTACGTACTTCACAAGAACGCCTACCAGCACAAGGTCAACTGTGCCCTGGATATCATGTAAGTCAGTGTGTAGAATCAGGAGCTGCTGTGGTGTAGCAGCTAGATGCTTGACTGCACATCCAAAAGTCATGGGTTCAGGTCCTGATGGAGTTAGACATGCCTGACCCCTCCCCCACCCCCCTTAAAATAAAATTACCTAAATTTCCAGATTAGCCCAGCCTTTAGTGGGTACGAGGTGAAGTCCTTGGAAGTAAAGATGACTAGTATGATGTTGATCGCATCACCCACTGAGTGTAGATTTGTCAATAAAATATAGGTCTAGCCCTGTATGCCCAGTAAGCTTAAAGGCATGGAAGAGGATCCTTTACTGTTTTGAATCTCTTAAAACCAAAAGTTCCAAAATGCTGGGCAGATTTGAACAGAAAAAATATTTTTTTTTCCAACTCTTTTGAACTAGAAGGTTTGGCAAGAGATTCTCAAGGCATGAAGTTGTTATGAAAAACAATGGAATATTATCTTTTCTTAAAGATTTGTGATTAGTGAGGACTGTCATCATAGCTCATTGGTCAGATCCATAGGTGCTCTGATCTCCACCTTAGTAGCTCCACAAGAATCAAACGACTGATCACACCCCCTCTGTGTTGATTCATCAAACATCTTGTGCCCTTAGTAATATGTTCATGTCTGGCAGCTCTAGGTGGTGCTCTTATATCTGCCAACCTGTACAGGGATACAGAGTCAAACTTGTTCTCCCCTGTAATCGTCAAGAGACTACTAGTTAATCTAGATTTCTAAAGTACATTTGACCATATATAAAAAGCTGGAACACAATTTGCATATTTTATTTTTGGTGTGCTTTTTAAAAAAAAAAATTATTATAGGTAATAGTAAATTATGCCTAATGTGTTTCAAAGATTTATAGAGTTTAAAGACATTTATGAAATAAAACAAATCCACTAATGAATATGAAGGTCATTTATGGATCTGTTTTTTTTTTTTTTCTATACAAATGTCTCTTAACTTCGAGTCCCAAGGAACGCATCATACGTTCATAGGTTCCTACCTAGAAGCCCAATGAACGCATGATGCGCCGATTTTATTACTTTCTTTACTACCCCCTGGCCCTGTGATGCTAAACCCCCGGGGACTCAAAGAGTTAACATATTGGTTTACCTTTTCAGGGTTTGTCGCATATAATTCATAACATTATTCTTATCTATATAATTTATTTTTTTTGTCTCTTGCCACATTTATAAGGCCATTTATTTTTGCTCTGAAAAATTCAATTCTGAACTCTGTCCTTCAGTTTTCAAGTCCAGGTGCTGATTTTTGCTAGTGCTATGGAGTAATGAAGTCAGTCCTTTTGTCTCTAAACTTGCTTTTTATAATATTTTCTTGTCTAGTGTCCATTATCAATTTCCGACTTTCCCCGTATGGGTTCCTGGGCCCTATTATAGTGATATCAAGAATAGACCCACTGCCTGCCCAAAAGAATGTTGCAAGAGTCAACTAATTGGGAACTTCCTTCAATGTCGGAGTGCACCTGCCTGAGAGGCAAGCAACCAACAGTCTGCATGCAAAAAAATCAGATCTGTAAAATGGATGAACATGCAACACTCAGGTTCTGGAAAAGGACTACAGTCCAGAGGTGGATGGACAGCCAGAACTTTCCGCCGGAGTTTACAGCTGGTGAATGCGAAGAATAAAAAGAAGAAAGTCCAACTTTAAGCGAATACACTGTTGCAGCAGGCAGGAAGTCTTTTACTGCACAGCACAGAGTTTGCTGAGCTTTAGAAGTGAACTCAAGAAGTTCCAATGAATCAAGAGGTGAGGAAAAGATGCTGGTGTTGGATAGAACACATTGAGAAACCCTGATAATAGTGTAACTAGAATGTTCAGCTGGAACCGTTTCAGTCAGAGAAATAAAGGAAGACTAAACAATGCTAGAAGAAAATTTAGAAATTGAAATGGATATCAAAGGGAAGACGCAGAACAAGTTACATGCAGTGGCAAAGGTTAGGATGTCTTAGCATGGGCTGGTCGAAGCAGGCCATAACCCGGTTCAGTGCAAGGCTAGTAACAAATGAGCTTGACTGTTTTAGGTAGCTCGGTCTTGCTTATTTTGTCATGTTTATGAACTAAAACTAAACCAGTAACACTGTTACATTTTGTCAGGGTGGAACAAGCTCTTGTCAAGGCAGATAAGCATGTTCACATGACAGGAACCAATGGGTAAGCAGGTGTTTGTTTCGTTTATAAACATGGAAGTATTTTTGCAAATTGGTCTGTAATATGTAAGAAGCTTTTTTTTTTCAAGCCTTTTCTATTTTCATGCTGGTTTTTTTTTTTTTTCTAATTTAACCTGTTCATTTTTTCTTCCTACCTTCATTTTCAGTTTCTTTTCTTCTTCCCTTCCCTTTTCTAAATCATCCCCCACCTCATCAGTTCCTCCAGTATGCCTTTCTCTTCCCCACTTTTCCATCCTTTGCTTTTTTTTTCGTCCTTCTGTATCCTATGTTTGTAAAAGCAGTTTGCTTATAGTCAGTAATCTTATTTGATCAAAGAAGACATAAACAAAATGTTACACTGTTTATTACCTTCCTCTGTTCAAATTGACAACAGATGAACTAAAGGCATTCCAGTGAATCAAGAGGTGAGGAAAAGATGCTGGTGTTGGATAGAACACATATTCAGAAACCCTGATAATAGTGTAACTAGAATGTTTCACTGGAACCAGTTGAGCCAAAGAAGAGTGAACTTATTATATCAAGAAATTAACATTGCAATTCTCAACTATTTGTGTCATACTTTCCTTTTCTTCAGCTCTTCGTCCTTCAAGGAAGCATAGCCAGATCCTGCCAGTTTATCTTATCCATTGCCATCACCTCCAGTCCACCTCCATGTCACTCTCATTTCATTCACCTGTCTCAGATCCTCTTTTCCATTTATTCTGGGTCTTGAGTTATTTCTTTTGGCCTTTGGGTATTCTAGTTATGCGGGGTTTTCAAAATGATTTATACACTTTCATTCCTATATATTTCCTTGAATATACATTGAATATGAATAATATATACAAAAGAGAGGAAAAGAATTGAAACATAAAGCGTGGATAACACCAGAAACCATTTAAATGATCGAAGAAAGGAAAAGTAAAAAAAAATAGACAAACAATAGCAAAACTAGAACTGCTAAAGCGGGAGCTCAGGAAGAATACCCAAAAGCTAATAATGAAGTTAGGAGGCAAATAAGAGCGGATAAAAAGAAATATTTAGATGACCTAGCACAAGAAGGGGAGACAGCAGCAGCAAAAGGAAAACCTTAAAGACCTTTACAGAGCGACACAAAGAAATTAGTAGGTAAATATAGTCAGCCAACTGGATCAATCAAAAATAGTCCAGGAAAGATACTCACCAACACTAAAGATCAAAAGGACAGATGGGCTGAATATTTTGAAAAGCTTCTAAATAGACCAGGCCCAGAGGTTCCTCCAGATATCCAGCCTTTAGAAATAGAACTGGATATCAATTCTGAGATCCCATCTAAAGACTAAATTAGAACAGCTATCAATCTTCTGAACGGAACTGCTATGGTCTAGCGGCTAGACGCTCAGCTGCAAATTGGAAGGTCGTGGGTTCTGGTCCTGACAGAGGGCAAACTTTTTTCAAAAATGACCTTGGCAGGTCTGGGAAGTAAAGGCGGCTGGCGTGATGCTGACAACATCTCCACCTAGTGCTGTTTGGTCTATAAAATATAGATCTAGCCCTATATACCCAATATGCCTGAAGGTATGGAAGAGGATCCTTTACTTACTTTTACTTTTATTGGTCTTCTGAGGGAAGGAAAGACACCAAGTCCAGATGGTATTCCAGCAGAAGTTATTAAGACCTATATAAACATATCAGCAGAATTTCTAAATAGATTATTTATTAAAGTCTAGGAGACTAGAGAAATACCTGCAGGCTGAAGAGAAGGATATCTTGAAAACTGCCCAAAAAAGGTGATCTACAGGAGTATGAAAACTATAGATCAATTATGTTCTGGGGAAAATATTAACTAGGATAATTTTGGAAAGACTAAAAGATGCTATTGATAAAAAGCTAAGAGATAAACAGGCAGGTTTTTGACCAGACAGAACCTGTACTGACCAGATAGCTGCACTAATAATAATAGAAAAAAAGCATTGAATTGAATTCATCACTTCACATTGGATTCATAAACTTTGAAAAAGCTTTTGACAGCATTGATAGGGAATCTCTAGAAATTAATGGGGCATTATGGAATTTCACAGAAAATTATTAACTCAGTAAAGGCAGTATACAAAGACATGAAATGTCGAGTTTTTGGTGAGGGAAAGCTAACAGATACATTTCAAATAAAAACAGGTGTGCGGCAGAGATGTCTTTTGTCACCTCTCCTGTTATGAAGACAGCAACTGTTAACACCAAAAATGGAACTCAGTGGACCCTACAAAACAGCTTGATGATCTGGACTTCGCTGTAGATATTTCTCTTCTATCCCATTCACAGAATCAGACGCAAGATAAATATGCTTGATTCAAGATCACAACAGCTAGGTCAGAAAATCCTTAAGAAAAAGACAAAGATAATGAGAATAAATCAGGCAGTAGATACTTCATTGTGTGTAAGATGAGTTCGGCTACTGTTTAGATGTTTGGCGAGCAGCAGACAATGGCCATATTTAACATCTATAAACTTCATTGTAAGTTTGTAAACTTTAGACCTTCCTCTCTCTCTTCTATGTATAATAATAGTATGTAATTAACAGTCAAGGAAATATGCATGAATGAAAGTGCATCCATCAGTTTGAATAACCCTGTCTTATTTCAACAAGTTTTCTCAATGTTGGTCGTGTCAAGTGTCTCTCAGCCTAAGACATCCGATTTCAGCACATCCTTAGTTAATTTATATTTTCTTTTAATGTGCATTACTACAGAATTTCATCAACGTATAATGAAGCACACAAAAATTAACCCTTTCCACTGAAATACACAAATCACATTGTCTTCTTTAGTTATACTGTACATCTCACCAGTGGAAGTTTAAGATTACCACTTGATTACCACGGAAATGTAACATTTACCAGATGCTATTTTTGTTCGCACAACACAGGATTGTTCATTTTAATTGTCACAGTTTCTGCCAGGTTTAGTAATCACCTATTTGATGTCTGGTAAATAACACAGAAGGGTCACTACCTATTAATTTCATGCCCGTAATCAAGCAAATGATGTCCTATCACTATTTGTGTTTCACTGTTTGTTAATGTAACCCAGCACTCAACACCACCTCTCGATTCACTGGAATTTGGTATCTCCCGAGCACCACATTGGTGAACCAGTCATACTTTTTAAATCCCTCTTTTCGATGCAGGCACCAATTAATCAAATGTTTCGTTTATTTGTAGTTGTTTAGTCGTTTTGCCTGTTTCTGTTCTGTAGCAGTACCAGTTTGATATTAAACTGAGTTACATTTTTCAAAGCTGCTAGTTTAAATTTCATATGACTTCCACAGATGTTCGAGTAATCTGAAAGTTATTTTCTGTATATTTATACATGTTACTCTTTGACTTTATTGCTCCCAAAAATGTGAATCACATCTTGAAATGGGGTTTTACCATGGCAGATAAAATGATTGTTTGCTTTTTGTAAATCATTGTTTACTATTTGAATTATTGTTTGCCAGGTTTTTCTCTTCCTCTTCTTCCTCTTCTTCACGTTCACCAGCTATAAACTCTGGCGGAAAGTTCTGGTTGTTCATCCACTTTTGGACTGCAGTCCTGTTTCAGAACCTGAGTGTTGTGTATACATCCGTTTTACAGATCTGAATCATTTGTATGCAGACTGCTGGTTCCTTGCTCTCTCAGGCAGATGCTCTCTGACTTCGAAGGAGGCTCTCAGTTAGTCGACTCTTATAACATGCTTTTGGGTAGGCAGTGGGTCTATTCTTGTTTTCCCTATAATAGGGCCCCGGAACCCACACAGAGACTGTTTTGTTTTCTCAACATATGTGTCTTTCCCCCGTAGGTACTTATACCACATTACTATTATGAACAACACGCTTCTTGTCACTAATCTTATTTCTCCTTATAGTCCATCATTATATCAATTCTATTCCTTTTTAGGATGACATTTTTCATTATTTGAAGCCCTACTCTGGCTCTTGCCAGGGGCCGCAATATAGCCTGGCCATAAATATGGCCTAAAGACTGAATGCGATTTCTGGTCCCTCCCCACGGTGATTCTCACCCACATGGTGGCACACTTATGTCATCGGGTGTTTTTCGCTTGTGTGATGTCCTAGTAGGGTAGAAAGTCAGTCAGTCTTATAGTCTATATCTTGTGACGTTGGTAGTCATGTTTATCCAGTCTTCTGGCTTGTGTACATTCCATCATTTCTGACTCAAATGATTTTACATGCCATAATGGCAGACTTTTTGGCAGCTTCTCTCTCTGTCTTCCTGTGCCTCTTTTCCCTCTGACTTTCCTACTATCATGATGTATTCCATTTTTATTTTTATCGTGACAGGTCAAATGTAGATTGTCTCCTCCTGATATGGGTAATCAGTTCTGTTCATATGTTAGTTTCTTTCAGGACATCTTGATAACTCTGTTGATCTGTCTAGAGTGCTCTCATCATTCTTCTATAAAGCCACATCTCTGTCGCTCCCACATTTTTTTTTTAAGTTGCTGATTGTCCATGATTCATTCCATACATCAGAATTATAATTAAATAGCTCCTAAGAAAATTAATCTCACACTAGTCTTACAGATTCAAGAAATTAAGTTGACAGTTCTTATAAAATTGTGTCATTCTGTAAAGCTTTTAATGACTTTCTGTTTGTCTTCCTTGTCTAAGTAAATAACCCTCTGGAGACCTCTGTCGCTTTTAATGCCTTGTTTTTGATAGACAAGGTATCTTTCACAAGATTTTGTTCATTGTTCTTGTTTCAGATATTCAGGGATCAAAATAGTCTTTTTTTCTCTCACAGTCCATGTCGCATGAGTAATTATGGCTCTCTTCTGTTTTGTGTACTGCCGACGATTTGTGATACAGATCTCACCCTGTGTCAAACTGTCCAGCATCTCTTTAAGTCTGTTCTTGTCTTTCTTCCTCTCAGACTAACCCAGTGTCTTGATTTGCTCCAGTTTTCCAGTTCTTTATGATGTTCCAAAACAATGTGAATTGTCCTTTCCTCATATAATTAACAAATTCTTTTAATGTGTTTTTTTTCCAGGAAAAAATGCACAATTTCAGAAAGTATCAATGACATGGAGGCCTACATGCACTTGACAGACAATATTCTGTTTAAGATTCTGGATACTGAGCTGCCTGAAGGCGAGTCACAGCAAAATCGTGAGGAATTAGAAGAAGCAAAAATCCTCATCCGACGAATTTTCAGTCGAAACCTATTTAAGTGCATACTTGAAAGCCAGCCTTTAAGATCAACTCTAATGGAAGGGGTAAGTTTGAGTGAAATGTCTTTTATTGGAAGCCTATCTGATAATGTTATTCAGACTCATCTGAAGTGCGATAAGCTTGAACAAAATTGTGTCTGACAATGTTATGCAGACTGATTTGAAGTACAGTAAGTTTCCTTTGTTGGCAGCGTGTCTGACAATGTTACGTAGACTCATTTGAAGTACGGTAAGTTTCCTTTGTTGGCAGCTTGTCTGACAATATTATACAGACTCATTTGAAATCCGATAAGTTTGAGCAAAATGTCCTTTGTTGGCAGCGTGTCTGACAATGTTATACAGACTCATTTGAAGTGCGATAAGTTTGAGCAAAATTTGCTTTGTTAGCAGCATATTTGATCTTGTTTAGCAGAGGAACAATGCACAACCCAAGAAAACAACAGCTACATAAATGAACATTTAGAACCAAGCATAACACCTTCAGAAATCAGAAAAGCTGTAAAAGAGGCACCTTCCAACAAAGCACCGGGTCCTGACAACATACCTACTGAACTGTTCAAAGCAAAAGAAGAGGTCAGTGTAAAATGGATGCACAGATTTTTTTCCAACCCAGTATGAATAGAACAAAAGACACCAGAGAACCTGAGAATGCAATTACCCATCTGGAAGAAGAAAGACAGCAAGAAAGACTGAGAAGTATAGAGAAGTTTCGTTATTGAGCCACACCCGAAAAATATTTTGTGAGATTCTTGATAAAAGGCTACGCCCTATCATCATACCACAACTTAGTAAAAAAATTGGGATTTCAGAAGCACAGAAGTTGTAATGATACAATATTCTCACTTAGACAGTTAGTTGAAAGGACGGTAGAATTTGATAATGAATTACACATCACATTGGTAGACCAAAACAAAGCTTTCGATAAAGTTAATAGGAATAAATTATGGAAGGTACTTCAGGATAAAGGAATAAACGAACACCATTTAAATTGTGCAAGAGTTTATACCAGAACAATCAATGCACAGTTAGAAAAAAATACAGGGATGTCAGAAAAGTTCTACATTAGATCTGGAGTGAGACAAAGGGTGCGTTCTGTCACCACCACTATTCATTGCATGCGTCAACCAAATTTTTAAATGAGCTAACACCAGCGAAGGGGACAACTATATGAGGATCTTCTTCTCCTTCTGTCAACTGATACCAGGTTACAGCTTAGTGTTGTGCTTTTCTGTATTTTTCTTGCACTTCTTGGGTGATTTGAGTGATGGATTTGTTCATCTTTTTGTAGATTTCAGCTACACCATTTATCCAGCTCTTTTTTGGTTTTCCTCTCACCTTTCCTTCCAGATGTTCTGCTGTAAAAAGTTTTATATGCAGTCTGGTCTGCATAAGTATCAGTATCACAATTACTTCTGCTATCTTCAGATTTCATTTTTATTTTATTTCCTAAATGATCTGAGATCAGAACCAGCATCTCAGTACCCATGGTTTGTGTACAGGCACACTATCCCCATCTTCTTGAACCAGTGTAGAGTTCTGAAACTTAAGTTGCCAGCTGCAGTCCGATTATATGTTATTCTGACTTTCCTCAGATTTTGAGTTTCGGCAAGATTCTCTAGTTGCTCCCCATTGCATCATTCTGTGCAGACCTTTTTTTGTGATGTTTTTTGAGCTCATCCACGTTTCTCGAAAGTCCCTGAGAGCCTTGACAACAAATGCCTTATCATTTTATTTTATGTTGTAGCATCATTATTATCACTGTGCTGCTGTGTCATTATATCACATAAGGCTCGCAATCTGTCCGTCCATTCCACTCTCTTCTGTGCAGTCCTTTCAATACTGTAGTCCAGCACCTTTGGCTTCTCTTATCAACATTCATTTTGGGATTTCTTTTGTACATCTTCACTTCTCCAGACTTTTTATTTCCCATTCAGGTGCCTGTTTGGTGATTCTCTTCTCCTTTCTTCTGAGGATATGTCCAGTATATTGCCATCGTCTTTATCTCAAACTGTTACCAGCTGTTGTCCCAACATGTTGACTGGAGTGGCATCCTTTTTTGTCAGTTAATTTAGCAAAAAAGGTTTTTTTACAGGATGGGAAAGCTGGCCCCATGCCCAGCCCTTCTCCTTTTTGTTGAAGCTAGGGACCAGCAGTGGCAGAGATTTTATCAATTGTAGCATAACAGCATTTTTTAAAAATTATTTTATGTCTTTATTTGGCTTATTTACTTTTCTTCATTTATCTTCGTGTATTTAAATCATTTGTCCAGTCTCTGTTGATAAGCTATAACATTTAACACTTGCTGTTTACATTTTTTTTTCTTTATATCTCATAGGAAACAGAGGAAAAGATTAAAAATGAGATCGTTGAAATCTGCACATTAATCAACGAATCAAAGGATGATTTCACTGTGAAGGTAGTCAAAATATAACCCTGTAACTCGAATCAGTCAATGTAATTCATTAACATGAAGTGCTTATTCTACAATCTAATACATTTAGTATGTTAGTTGTGGCAGTGGCCGTGGTATAGCAGCTAGACACTCATCTGCGGATGGAAAGGTTGCGGCAGTGGCCGTGGTATAGCAGCTAGACACTCACCTACGGATGGAAAGATTGTGTTAGTCACCGTGGTATAGCAGCTAGACACTCACCTGCGGATGGAAAGGTTGTGGTAGTCGCCATGGTATAGCAGCTAGACACTCACCTACGGATGGAAAGATTGTGTTAGTCACCGTGGTATAGCAGCTAGACACTCACCTGTGGATGGAAAGCTTGTGGCAGTGGTCGTGGTATAGCAGCTAGACACTCACCTGCGGATGGAAAGATTGTGTTAGTCACCGTGGTATAGCAGCTAGACACTCACCTGCGGATGGAAAGGTTGGGAGTTCGGGTTCTAACGGAACCTGACTTTTTATTTTTATTTTCAAACATTGCTTTAGCTTCCAGGTTGACTAAACCTTGAATGGGTACTAGGTACAGCCCTGGGGAAATAAAGGAGGCTAGCATGATGCTGACCACATCACCCACCAAATGCAGTTTGGTCTGTAAAGTATAGGTCTAGCCCTATATGCCCAATGTGACTGAAGGCGTGGAACAGGATCCTCTGCTTGCTTACTTTGTTAGTTGTATACCTGTTTAGAGGGCATTGCAAATCAACCCCAGCATTTATTGGTTGTTTGTGGTTTTACTAGTCAAGTTTTTTTGTGTTCATTAGTTTGCCATTGCTGACTGAACAGTCTGCTGCTGAATCATCCCCAGCTAGAATGGGACCAGGTATCTCAGAATTATAAACCATGTTCTCAACCTCTAAGCCCCATGCACTGACATCTTCAGACACTGAAACTTTCTTGCGTGAGCTCAACATATCTGCTGGTTATTTCTTCACAAATGATCATGTATGTGTGTGTGTACAAATTGATTGTGAGACCTATTTATAACTCTTTCAGTCCCAGTCGGTTGATACTTTGACTCCCTCTGTCCCAAGGAGCAGAACTTAGCAATAAATATCTTGGCCTGAAGAAGTTCAACATAGACACCATGGTGCCGAAGTAGTCCAGCTAATGATAAAAAAAATTTTTAGTTGCGCATCCTTTACAGGACTCTGCAGAACCAACCCCTGCACTTTCTGGCTGTTGTGGTTTTTTTAGGCAAATTTACATCCAGTAGTTTGCCATTGTCTTCTGGATGGTCGGCTCTCGGTACTGCGGCCGAAACCATCGCAAGACAAACTGTCCGCAGCAGGCATCAAACCTGGCACCCCGATATTACAAAGCGCGTTCGCCTAAGCCACAGACAAAGGATTTAAATATGAAGGGTTAATTCAGGGACTGTCTATGATGGAAGGCAGCAACAACATTATATACTGTTCAAAAACAAACCAACGAAAAAAAAAAAGAAATGCATAGTTATCCGATGGCGCTTTACTACTCACCAACAACAAAACAGTAAAGGTATTGCCACTGAAAGAAAACTAATTTTGTCATTGCTTGTCCATCCAGCATTTTAAAAGCTTTTTGAGTGAAAGTTGTTCCAACTGCACACAAGAAATACCTGAGCGTTCAGTTCAACCAATCAGTTAACAGTTATTTTGCATCTTGGTCATCAGTAGTTTTTGGGCATACAGGCTTTCAAGTCGACTAATAAAAATGCTGTGACATAACTCTCTTTCTCTCTCTCTCTCTCTCTCTTTTTTTTTCAAGTCTTTGTCTCACTATCTCAGCATCTCAAAATGTCTCTTTTGTGTCTCTTTTTTTCACCTTCTCTCTTCACTGTTTATCTCTTTTGTCACCTTCTCACTTCACTCTTTTTTTTCTTCTTATGCTCACTGTCTCTTTCTTTCACTCTTGTTTTGTTTACTCTTAAAAATGAATACTTCTTCTCTTTAATTCTCACTATTTCAAATTTTTTTCACTCATCCGCTGTTTCTCTCTCTCTCTCTCTCTCTCTCTCTCTCTCTCTCTCTCTCTCTCTCTCTGTTTCTTCCCCCATTCTCTCTCTCTTTCTCTCTGTTTCTCCCCACATTCTCTCTCTCTCTCTCTCTCTCATTCTCTCTCCATCTCTCTCTCTCTCTCACATACTCCTTTCCTATCTCCCTACTTATTTTGTATTGTTGTTTTTACTAACCATGTATGTAATGTCAAATCCTATAAAGTTGATCTTGCCTTCACCATAATCATATTTAAATCTCCAATAGTGGCCAGATTTATCATTTCTATGGCCAGTTTGTCACCAGCATCAACAGATAGAAACCATTGGTTACTAGAAGCTTTATTCTTAGCATTTACCAGCGGTAAATTCTGGCAGAAAGTTCTGATTATTCATCCACTTCTGGACTTAGTCTGGTTCCAGAACTTGAGTTATGCAAGCATATCCTTTTGTCAGATCTGGCTTATTTGTGTGCAGACTGTTGATGACTCATCTCCAAGGCAGAGGCACTCCGCCTTTGAGGAAAATACCTTTGATTAATTGCCTGTTACCACTTGCTTGTTAGTGGGACATTGGCTCTGTTCTTTTTTACCCCCCAGATGGGGCCTAGCAACCCAAGAGGAGAGAGATTTTCTGAAAAAAGATGGCATTGTAGACTAGTTATTTTACCTCCTGCTTTAAAATACCTAACACTTCTGACCCACATACCAGTATCTGTGTGGGGTTTACTTTTGACTTACATTTAACATGTCACATTATTCCTTCCATTTTCAGATAATTGAGAAAGAAACAAAGCTAGAGATCAGTTATACGAAAGACAGACAAATACACATCAGGAGAGATCATATTTTCGACAAGGTAGCCAACATTACTTTAACTTCTAGACAGTCCTTACTTTAACGTTTGTATTCTAGACACTCATTACTTTAACACTTTGTAATCTAGATACTCTTTACTTAACTCTAGTAATCCTAGACAGTCATTACTTTAACTTTTTTCTCTCCTCATTACTTCAAGTGTTTATGTCCTAGACACTCATTACTTTTTTTTTCATTTAACACTCATTACTTTAATTTGTTGTATTCTAGACACTTGCCACCATTTTATATCCCTGGATACTCATTACTTTAGTTTCATGTATCCTAGACGCTAATTACTTAAACCTATTGTATCCTAGACACTCATTACTTCAACTTAGTGTATCCTAGACACTTATTACTTGAACTTATTGTAACCTAGACACTTATTACTTGAACCTATTGTATCCTAGACACTAATTACTTCAACTTATTGTAACCTAGACACTAATTACTTCAACTTATTGTAACCTAGACACTAATTACTTCAACTTATTGTAACCTAGACACTAATTACTTCAACTTATTGTAACCTAGACATACATTTTTGTTTTAATTTTCGGCTAAGCATCAGCAAGATAATCATGTTAATATTTGTGAGAGCAGGCGTCTTTCCTGTTGCAACGTTTGGATATGAGTCACGAACTGTCTCCCATCTCTTCTCATTAAGGAAGAAAATAGGGACTTTAAAGCTGTAATTCTATAGAAAAATATTATCAGAATACCGTGAACTAAGAAAAAAGAAGTGCAGACATCCTGAAAGATCTAAATAACTGGCTCATAAACAGCATCTTGTCTCAGAAGCTGGAATATTTTGACCTTATCAAGCACCACAATGGACTGGAAAGAACAGTAGCAGAAGGCATGGTACCAAGAAAGATTCACCAGCTGGAAGATGGCAGAGGATATAAGTGACACCTTGGATGGGAAAGTGCATAAGGCTAGAGAGCCGGTGAGGGGCCGTGTTTCTTTCAGGCGGGCTGTGATGAGGGCATGGTTCTATAAAGGATCTGCTACATGATGATGATGATGATGATGATCCTAGACACTCGTCACCTCATCTTACCATATTCTAGACACCAATTATTTGAATAAATACAACATAAAGTGTGACTAATAAGCTCATGCAATGAGTGGAATAGACATGCACAAATACAACAAAACATTTCGACCAAAGTCATTATCTGCTGAGTGCTCAATACAACATAAACTCTGACCGGAAAACTCAGCGGACAAGACAACAAAGCTTGTACACAACCAGTTATTTTCATTCCTTGAATCCTAAATATTTACATATTTTTTTCCCTTGTGGACTGCACACAGTTTAGTTTTTAACCATTCAGTTACCTTACCTTTCATTCAGTTTCATTTCATAAAATTTTGAAACTTGACTTTTTCAGATGACTGAGGAGGAGATTCAGCAGAAAATCCTGGCCGACTGTTCAAGGGCAACCAGCAATAAAGATGGTTTCTTTGTCAAGGTAATCAGAATATTTTCATGTATGGGTGAATGGACATTTGAACATTGTAATTTTTGTATGCTGTAACAAATTTTCTGTGTTTAGCGACTGCATTGTTTTATTTTTTATTTATTTTAAGTGAACTATAATGTTTATTATCCCAGCTGTGGGCCATGCGCCTTGCGTTGGTTTCGACAGTGGTATCAAGAAAGCCAACCGTCTAGAAAGCAATGGCAAACTACTGGACATAAATTTGTCTAGATTAACCACACAACAGCCAGGGGCTGTTGTGTTTGGTTCTGCAACGTCCTGTAAAGGATACGCAACTAATCATGTGGTTTATTAACATGTTAAAGTTAGTTGCATTTCCTTTACAGAAAATTGCAGAACCAACCCCAGCCTTTTTTGGCTGTTGTGGTTTTTCTTTGCCATTGCTTTCTGGATCGTCGGTTTGTTGATACCACTGTCGAAACCAACGCAAGGCCCAAGGCCGCAGCTGGGATTGAACCCGGCACCTTGGCATTACAAATTGCGTTCGCAACGCCTAAGCCACAGAGGCTGACTTATTGGCATGTGCCTATGCAGAATAGAAGAGACTAAATAATTTGGTAAAATAGCGGGATATAAATCACATGACATAATAAAGGTTATTAAATGGTATGACACTCACTAAATGGACCTTTGGAAGAGAACTAAATAATTCCTATAAATCAGTAAATTAGGGGAAAGGCAATGTGACTGAAAGTGACATATGCTGAGAAAACCTGAAAATAAGGTATATTTTGAATATTCTTACACTAACTTCAAGGCTTCAACTTGTACACGTGAAACAAGTAACATAGAGTGGGCTGCACATGATACCAAAAGATTGGGCGATGGTGAAAGCTACAGCTAGAGCACAAGAATATAAATAATTGTTAGCAGAAACACTGAGACAGAAATCATCTTGTTCTGGGTGGAATACTGTAACACGCGCTTGTGTCGAATATGAGTTTTAAATTAGGAATTGACATCATAGCACTCAGGACATTCCCTCAAGACATCCGTCTCTATCTTCAGCAGCAAGCTGAGTCCTAGATCCGATTGTATGTCCACCCTGTGTGTTAAGCACCTACCAGGTCACTCCTCACTTGACCATTTTCTTCAGACTGTGATGATCCATTTGTGCCTCCACTCTGTTTACTCACTCCCAGAGGGCCCTTACAGCATCTAGCTTGTTATGCATCAGTTTACCAGCAAGAGATGCAGAACTAGCCAGTGTATCTAAATGGGACTTCTTGTTGCTGTTACATTTAGTTATGTTACACCAACTACAGAGCATGTCCTACAAGACTGCCCAGACTTTGCCATACAGAAGAAATCAGACCCACAGGAGTGACCCTGCAAGACAAGCCATGAGGCACCAGTGAAGACCTTGCCACATGTCATGCACACAGAACTATGCTGCGACTGAACAGAGAGTAAAACATATATTCGAAGTGTAATGTCATGTCGTTATCTTCATCATAAAATACCTTGCCAACTGGCATTGGCAAACAAGCCTCTCAATATATTTTCAACAGCATATATCAGTTCATGTGTTGACATGCCTCCATGCCATAGCAAAAGGGGGTCAAGAACTCTGTCTTACATTGTCTTCCTCTGTCCATTTTCCTATAAATCTTTCTAGTGGTCACAACATGCTCTAGTTTCCTTCTCATAACAGGGCCTTAGAATGTTGACTGTCTCTTTCTTATGTTTGTGATATGTTGACTTCAAAAGTTTCACTGTTACAAAACATCTGGGTTGCTCTTTTTAGATGTCCAAACAATTGTTAGGATTCTTCTGTAAAACCACATTTCTGTTGCCTCAAGAAATTGTTTGGCTTTTTGCACTTCACACATACATATTACTCTCTGTTTAGTCGCTGGCTAGATGTGTGTCTGTGACATGTGACAGACCTTATGTCTGTGACATGTGACAGATCTTATGTTTGTGACACATGCTGGAATAGATGCATAGCAGACACTGGTCACTGAAGTAGAAGGTCTGGTATCTAAATCTAAGGATAGAGGGCAGAAAAGGATAAAAACAAAACAATTAATGACAGAAAGACAAAGAAGAAAACAAATAAAAGATACTTTTAAACCAGAATGTCATGTGATGCACATGATACTGGACTCATGTTTTAACTAATCAGTCGACACTCAGTGAATGATGTGGCCAACATCACACCAGACAGTCGACACTCAGTGAATGATGTGGCCAACATCACACCAGCCAGTCGACACTCAGTGAATGATGTGGCCAACATCACACCAGACAGTCGACACTCAGTGAATGATGTGGCCAACATCACACCAGCCAGTCGACACTCAGTGAATGATGTGGCCAACATCACACCAGCCAGTCGACACTCAGTGAATGATGTGGCCAACATCACACCAGACAGTCGACACTCAGTGAATGATGTGGCCAACATCACACCAGCCAGTCGACACTCAGTGAATGATGTGGCCAACATCACACCAGACAGTCGACACTCAGTGAATGATGTGGCCAACATCACGCCAGCCAGTCAACACTCAGTGAATGATGGGGCCAACATCACACCAGCCAGTCGACACTCAGTGAATGATGGGGCCAACATCACACCAGCCAGTCGACACTCAGTGAATGATGTGGCCAACATCACACCAGCCAGTCGACACTCAGTGAATGATGTGGCCAACATCACACCAGCCAGTCGACACTCAGTGAATGATGTGGCCAACATCACACCAGCCAGTCGACACTCAGTGAATGATGGGGCCAACATCACACCAGCCAGTCGACACTCAGTGAATGATGGGGCCAACATCACACCAGCCAGTCGACACTCAGTGAATGATGTGGCCAACATCACACCAGCCAGTCGACACTCAGTGAATGATGTGGCCAACATCACACCAGCCAGTCGACACTCAGTGAATGATGGGGCCAACATCACACCAGCCAGTCGACACTCAGTGAATGATGGGGCCAACATCACACCAGCCAGTCGACACTCAGTGAATGATGGGGCCAACATCACACCAGCCAGTCGACACTCAGTGAATGATGGGGCCAACATCACACCAGCCAGTCGACACTCAGTGAATGATGGGGCCAACATCACACCAGCCAGTCGACACTCAGTGAATGATGTGGCCAACATCACACCAGCCAGTCGACACTCAGTGAATGATGTGGCCAACATCACACCAGCCAGTCAACACTCAGTGAATGATGTGGCCAACATCACACCAGCCAGTCGACACTCAGTGAATGATGTGGCCAACATCACACCAGCCACCGTTATTTTCCAGAACATTTTCTAGTACCGGTTCTAATCTGGGTTGACCCGGGAACAAAGTTCAGACAATTCTATTCTAGCCTAAATTAAAACTCATTACTTACAGATGGGCAGGCAGCTGTTAAACTACTTCTCTTCTATGATTTTTTTCCCATTTTTCATCTTTTTCTTAGTGTTCACCGGTTGTAAACTCCGGCAGAAGGTTCTGGTTGTTCGTCCAGTCCTGGACTTTGGTCTTGTTCCATTTTGGAGTACAAAGAATAACCCAATGCCCCCTTTTTTTTTTCACATGCAACCATATCATAGGAATCACTAATTAGGGAGTGTTTGCTTCACATTTGGAGTACATCTGCCTGAGGGGCAAGGAACCAATAGTCTGCATACAAATAAGCCAGATCTGTAAAATGGATGTGCAAAAAAATTAAAAAAAACAAGTACTAGATCAGAACCAAAGTCTAGGTATGGATGAACAACCAGAACTTTTCTCACTACTCAATAGCTTTTGAGGATGAGAAGAAAAAGCTGGTAATTGTGCATATAAGTATTCAAATGTTTGTTTATGTTCAGATTGTGGACCTTGACTATGGGATGAAAGATGAGAATCCTGTCTCGAAGCTGAACGTCTACACCAAGCACAAGCCTGACGAAGCCAACCAGTTTCCAAAGGAAGAGGTAAAAATTGGGGAAATGGGCCAATCCTTGAAAGTGGCTTTATTTCGTCCCATCTCTCTCTATAAAAACGTTCCCTACTGTCTGTATTTACCGTTTTTAAGGCATCAATAAATGATGAAGAAATTGAAAATGTCACAAACTTTGAATATCTAGGCTCTAGAATAAACAACAATGGAGACTGTTCGACAGAAATTAAAAGGAGGATGGCAATAGCAATGCAAAGATTGAACAGCCTTAAAAGTCTATGGTTAAGCACCAGCAAGGAGATAAAAATTAGAATTTTGAGAGCGTGCATCTTCCCTGTGGCTACATACGGATGTGAGTCGTGGACTATCTCTCAGTCCTTAAGAAAGAGAATAGGGGCTTTTGAGCTGAAATGCTATAGAAAGATTCTCAGAATATCTTGGACAAAGAAGATGAGAAATATTGACATCTTAAAAGATCTGAACATCAAGGAAGATTGGCTAATAAACAGCATCCTTTCTCAAAAACTGAAATATTTTGGTCATATCAAGCGCCACGACGGATTGGAAAAAATTATAGCAGAAGGCATGGTACCAGGAAGGAGGGGCAGGGGCCGACCGACACAAAGATGGGCACAGGATATAAGTGACTCCTTGAGTGTGAAAGTGCATGAGGCGGGAGAACTGGTGAGAGACCGAGTTTCTTTCAGGCATACTGTGATGAGAGCGATGTTCTGCAAAGGACCTGCTACATGATGATGATGGCGTGGGGAGGTGAGAGGTCATGAACCTGATAGCTAATGCTGTCACCATGGACTGTGCAGATTAGGATATTTATTCTTGCCCCTAACAGAAAAACCATGACTGGATCTTAGGTAAAACTAGGGTCTCACACTCAGGTCTTCCTGATGTTATGACTGCTTAGCCAGCTGCTGCTTCTTGGCAACCCCCCTCCCCCCAACTCTATCTCTCTCTCTTTCTCTCTCTCTCTCTCTCTCTCTTTCTATATATATATATATATATCTATATATATATATATATATATATGTGTGTGTGTGTGTGTGTGTGTCCTTTTCTCCCTCTCCTTTGTCTCTATCTCTCTTTTTCTGTCTCTCAATATAGATTGAAATATTTTAAGTGTGAAGTTTGTGAATGACTATTTTTAGAATAAATGATGGCCTATTCGTTCACAGTGAGGTGAAAAAAAATATGGGCTATCCTCCGAATAACGTCCCAAATTATCGAGGCTAAGAAAATACCATAACAGTGCCTCAATCATATGTAAATTGCGGCCTTTTTTTCCAAGGAATATAAAACATACCATGGGAAACACTTCTCCGAATAACAGTCCCAAATCACCGAGGGTGTCAGCAACTCTGACACTGAGTGCTAGGTTTAACTTCTCCCCTGGGTCCTAGGTTTAACTCCTTCCCTGGTTCCTAAGTTTAACTTCTCCCCTGGGTCCTAGGTTTAACTTCTCCCCTGGATCCTAGGTTTAACTTCTTCATTGGGTCCTGGGTTTAACTTCTCCCCTGGGTCCTAGGTTTAACTTCTCCCCTAGGTGTTAGGGTTAGGGCCAGAAGTATTGCAATTACAACACCGCCACCAGAATTTGTCACAACAGTGGAACCGACCGCGACACCCGATTGAAGGGTTATGAATGTAACTTGCGCGGACGCGACGTTACCATGGCGGCACAAGTTGCACATTGTTTATTGAATATTTAGCGCAGTTTCCTGGTGGCACAGTTACAAGCATTGAGGCCCTGTTAGGGTATTTTCTTTTAGCCTCAATAATTTGGGTCCGTTATTCGGAGGATAGCCTAAATATGTTTTCTGTAGACATTTGTATGTACTTTTTCGTGTTTTGTCTCTCTGTCTTAGTCTTTGTCTTTCTGTCTCTCTTTCTGTCTCTCCCCCTCCCTCTCCTTGCCTTCCTCTCTCTTATTATTTTGCATTAATGTATCACATGCCTGATAAAACTTTATCAAGTCAACCTTCTCTTTCTTTGTTTGAAAATTAGCAAAATATAGCATACAGTCAATCTTCTTACTCTTTCTTTGTTTACAAATTAGCAAAATATAGCATACAGTCAATCGTCGTACTCTTTCTTTGTTTACAAATTAGCAAAATATAGCATTCAGTCAATCTTCTTACTCTTTCTTTGTTTATAAATTAGCAAAATATAGCATACAGTCAATCGTCTTACTCTTTCTTTGTTTATAAATTAGCAAAATATAGCATACAGTCAATCGTCTTACTCTTTCTTTGTTTACAAATTAGCAAAATATAGCATACAGTCAATCTTCTTACTCTTTCTTTGTTTACAAATTAGCAAAATATAGCATACAGTCAATCTTCTTACTCTTTCTTTGTTTATAAATTAGCAAAATATAGCATACAGTCAATCGTCTTACTCTTTCTTTGTTTATAAATTAGCAAAATATAGCATACAGTCAATCTTCTTACTCTTTCTTTGTTTACAAATTAGCAAAATATAGCATATAGTCAATCGTCTTACTCTTTCTTTGTTTATAAATTAGCAAAATATAGCATACAGTCAATCGTCTTACTCTTTCTTTGTTTATAAATTAGCAAAATATAGCATACAGTCAATCGTCTTACTCTTTCTTTGTTTATAAATTAGCAAAATATAGCATACAGTCAATCGTCTTACTCTTTCTTTGTTTATAAATTAGCAAAATATAGCATACAGTCAATCGTCTTACTCTTTCTTTGTTTATAAATTAGCAAAATATAGCATACAGTCAATCGTCTTACTCTTTCTTTGTTTATAAATTAGCAAAATATAGCATACAGTCAATCGTCGTACTCTTTCTTTGTTTATAAATTAGCAAAATATAGCATACAGTCAATCTTCTTACTCTTTCTTTGTTTAAAAAATAGCAAAATATAGCATACAGTCAATCTACTTACTCTTTCTTTATAAATTTGCACAATATAGCATACAGTCAGTCTTTTTACTCTTCTTTCTTTCAAAATGCACACCACCTAATAAAAATTTTGCAGAAATGTTTGGAACAATAGGAAAATAATTTCTCGGTTTCCAAATTATAATTTTCTTATACGCATATTTCTTAATGAAAAAAGCTAAAGAGACAACTATTCCTAAAATTAAAATGATCTGCAATGTCTGTTAGTTTTATTTTTATGTGACATGTGCTTTTCTTCCTCATTTTTCTTCTTTAAATGTCTTTCTAATAATGCATATTATTATTTGAATATAATATGCTTTATTGATAAAATACAACTGCTGTGTGAAAGACGGGTGTTTGGAAGGGCTGAATCTAAGACGGGCCTGCGTGTCTAATTTGTGACTATTTGAAAATAAAGTTTGTTTGTTCATTCGTTCCTTTTTTTTTTTTTAATTTACATGTGAAAATTTACTCTTTATTACACCATTTTTCTAACATGTGAAAAGATACTCTTTCTTTGTTACACCATTTTTGTAACATGCGAAAAAATACTCTTTCTTTGTAACACCATTTTTGTAACATGCAAAAAAATACTCTTTCTTTGTTAAACCATATTTGTAACATGTGAAAAGATACTCTTTCTTTGTTACACCATTTTTATAACATGTGAAAAGATACACTTTCTTTGTTACATCATTTTTTGTAACATGTGGAAAGATACACTTTCTTGTTACACCATTTTTCAGACATCAAGAATCTTGGCACCCTACATTTTTAAAGAACAGCTGGTTCGCATCTACCTTTTTGACAGAAGTCTGCAGGTGTCTGATGGGCTCAGTATTGCATGGCACATCTGGTTTGACAGGCGGGCTGATTTACAGGTAAATGTGTGCATGAAATAACCACAGGGTACCAATTACATTCATGTTTATCATCTAAAGCACTGGTTCCGAGAGTGATGAGACCAAGGACTCTCTTGTTGTCTGAGGTCTGCCCTGAAATGAACTCAGCACTATGTAATAGTTATATTGAAAGAAAAAGGAGTACATCTATATTAGAACTGCATAAACAACAAAAAGGGGTCTGAGGATTTTGTGTGTGTGTGTGTGTGTGTGTAAAGGATATCATGACCAGTGCTGTAGGGTAGGATTTGCTGTGCTGGGTGTAATCAAATTTGTGTTTTTAACAGTTCATTTATATCCTCGATTTCATTGCCTAGCTTTGTCTGGGTTAGTGAAAGAAAGTCTTGTTCTCCCATTGTTCTCTACCTCATCTTATTTTCCTTTATGTAGGCCTATAGAAATGGCGGTCTAACTAAAACCTTATATTTTATACCCTTACTTCTAAGTCATCTTTGCCTCTACCGCTGCCATATCTTTAGTTATTGCCCCTTAGTGCACCTGAGGCATCCCCTGTAATACTAACTCCAGTATTTAACCCTTAGGAAGACAAACAAATGTATTGTCTCACAAAAAAATATTTGATTTAAAAGAAGATAACAGCCAATTTTTTTTTTTTTTTTAAATTACCATTTCAAGGGAAATAATATTAAAAAAAATATTCAAAGGAAAATAACTTCAGCAAACACTTACTTTTACTGATTTTTGTAATAAATGAATAAATGCACAGTAACCTGGGCCACCAATGTGACTCTTAAATTAAACTTTGTAGTCATAATGGCACAAGAAAAATTAACCAGTGTATTGGTCATAGTTTGGTAGGAATTAACACTTAATTTATTCCATATCGCTCACCAGAATAAAAGACTCAAGAGTTAGGTTCAGCATATCCAAAAGTGAGAGACACACCGGGCACACAAAAAAGACTTATCAGTCAAAAAACTACTGGTACTATTAGTCACAGGACGCTGGGGTTCATAATGAGGGAAGGATGTGAGCACCAATGGACATGTCTACAGCGCAATGATCATATCCCAACTAACTAACTAACTAACTAACAATTTATAATAAACACATTAAATATGGAAAGGGTTTGTGATTTATATTATGTGTGTTTCTATGTGTATGGGGGAGGAGGTGACTAGAAATGTCCACACCGGGTACCACTCACCCTGCTACGCCACATCTTTCCATTCACCCCCATTCTGCAACCACAGATCTAAAGTTAGTAAAGAACCCTAACACGCGATTTGTTCTTTAGGAATATGGTGCTAGGCCTATCTTTTCAAAGAGCAGTTGCTACCTTTACTTCCTAGGACACTTCCTGGTACCTATTTTAGACTGAGGTGAAACTGAGTTTTCATAGATTGTGAACCTCTCATATGAGAGACTAAGTGTGTATAAGCTTTCCTCGTTGCAGTGATGTTGAATTTGAATCTTCACCACAATCAAATAATTGTGTTAGGGAGTGTGATATTGCTATTTGTATCCTAGAGGACATGTTATAACACATGATGGCAGGTGTGAGATCTTTTTCTTCTTCTTCCTTTTTTTTCTTTCTGTCATGCTGCTAATGCCTCAAAGTGTTGCTGAGAGAAGCTATATGCAGTTTCCTGTCTTTTGCAAGTTGTGTAGCTTGTGTTAATGTCATATAGCGTTTCTGTAGTGTCTCTTTTATTGAGACAGAAATAGAGACGTTAGATAGAAATTAGAAAAGAGCTTAAGAATGATCACATATATTGTCACTATCTTCAAAAAAAAATTATTCACACCTAGAGAAATTAACAGCATATTAAAAAGGATAATTTTTAAATGTTATGTATATGCGGGTGTTATTCTTCTTCTTTCCCTCCACCATTTACCTCAGCAGGGTGGGGGGGGGGGGGGGGGGGGGGTTTGTAGGATTGTTTGTATGATTTCTCAAATGCCTTGTATAAATTGCTCCTGATGGTGTTGCTCCATCTCTTGCATGGTCTTCGCCTTGCTCTGTTTTCATTATATTTCTTCAGCGTGGCTCTCTGTGACAGTTGGTACCAGGTGGCCAAACCATCTTATTTGTGGTCTTATCACTACCATTAAAAATATTCACATCTAGAGAGAATAACAACACATTACAAATGATAATTGTTCAGTGTTTTGTATACCCAGATCTTTTTACTACCCTTACAAAAATGTTCACACCTGGAGAGATAAACAACACATAAATAACAGGTCCCTTTTCAACACCTGGAGAGATAAACAACACATAAGTAACAGGTCCCTTTTCAACACCTGGAGAGATAAACAACACATAAGTAACAGGTCCCTTTTCAACACCTGGAGAGATAAACAACACATAAGTAACAGGTCCCTTTTCCACACCTGGAGAGATAAACAACACATAAGTAAAAGGTCCTTTTCCCACACCTGGAGAGATAAACAACACATAAGTAAAATGTCCTTTTCCCACACCTGGAGAGATAAACAACACATAAGTAAAAGGTCCTTTTCCCACACCTGGAGAGATAAACAACACATAAGTAACAGGTCCCTTTTCCACACCTTTAGGCATATTGGGAATATAGAGCTAGACCAATTTTTTTTATAGACAAATCGGCACTTAGTGGGTAATGTGGTCAGCATCACGCTGGCCACCTTTACTTCCCAGGGCTGCACCTGGTACCCACTCAAGGCTTGGTCGACATGGGAGTCAAGGTCTTTTTTTTTTTAACTCAAACCCACGACCTTCCGATCCACAGGCGGGCGTCTAGCCGCCAATTCCACGTCGGCTTCCGATAAACAGCACAGTATAAATGATAATTGTTCAATGTTATGTATACCCAGGTCTCATTTGTGGCACTGACCATTACCATGGGTTGTGATTCCTAGGCCTGTCTATAGCACACATTATAAAAGTATTGTTGTTGGTACCTTTTGGTCTTTCCGGGCAATATTGTTATATTGTGCTATGGGGACGCATGCGACCCACTGCCCCTGGCAATGGCAGGTTGAATGTTGAATTAATAATTGACACAACAGGACACTCAGGATACCCCATAAGCACTCTATCCTCATCTTCAGCTGCAGGTGAAGAGTTCCAATCCTGATGGCACCATTAACTGATTCTATATTCCTCTCGCCTTTTCCCTAAGGAGCACCGGCCAGATCCCCTTGTAACTCCTCGCAGCGCCATTCTCTCCAGACCATAATGATCTATCTGTGCCTCCACACTGTTCAGTCACTCCCAAAGAGCCCTCACGACATCCATCTTGTCATACATCAGTTCACCACCAAGTGGTGCAGAGCCAGTCAACACACTGGCATGATCTGGAGAAAATATCCAAAGGATTCTAACTACCCGGGACCTTTGAAGTGATGCTAGCCACTCTGCACGGAGCATGCCTGAATCCACCTTTCTTAACATGCTCTGCGAGTCAGCTATAATCTCAGCATATGTGTGTGTACAGCTGTTTCTCAAGCCAGCCAAAGGCAGCAGTGACTGCCTCCACCTCTATTCTCCAACTAGACGTTGTGATATCATATGCCAGGCTTTGTTGCACAAAGCGATGTCCATTCGCTTTTGCTATGGAACCCCCCCCCCCCCCCCCCCCCCATGCACTTTATCTGCCCCTTAACACAGAGCCATTTGTATAGATAATCATATCACCTGAGTGAAAATTGTCATAAATCATTTGTTGAAATTCTGATTCTGAAACACCAGCTGGGCAGTTCCTGCACTCACGACCTAAAGTGATAAGAACCCTAAAAAAGTCTGAATCTTTCTCAGACACTTTGACCCACTCCTCTCCTCGCTTAAATTTATCTAGCCTGCACACATGTCCTTTCCTGTGTTCAGCTTGCACCATCCAAGACCTTCCTCTTTTCAGTCTCTGACCCTTAGTTCTACCCAGATCTTCATGCAGGAGGTGCTTCTTGTCTGCAGCTTCTCTGAGATCTGACTTTGCTTGCAGAACTTGAGCCTATCAGCAATGATAGACAGTGCAAGTATATATCTCATGCATACTACTGGGGTATCTCTTGTAGATCCCAGATTTACCTGCATGGCTTCATTCAGTGGCAGATGTGACTAGCAAGACCTGCTTACGTAGAGATATCCACAATTAGAGCACAAGATTTCAGAGCCCTTGTTGCCGTCACAAGTATTTAGTCTGCTTCTTGTCAGCTGTCAGCCTTTCTGTGGTCATTTTTCCTTTATTCTCATTCCCTTCCTGATTTTTCCTGCTCCACTCAACACGATCCATGGCATTTTGTTCTAGTGAATCTACCTCAGTACCTGTATCATTCATGTCCCGCTTGCGCACGTCTTTTTATCAAAGTAGAGGCTGGCCTCCACTTCCTCTATGTATCTGTATTTCACCGTAAAGGATGCTCTTGGGATTCAACCATCCTCAGCTAACTATAGAACTTTTTTTTTTAAACATGTGGGTGTGTGTGTATATACATATTTATTGGAATTATATTGTTACGAAATATACACGCACGCACACACTCTCTCATGCACACACACAGATATATACACACACACATACATACTATACTATATCCTCTCAATTGACCATGTAAATATGTATATATCATAAACTTTCAGGAGGAGTCTGAAGAAAAACCTGCTGAAGAGCAGAAAGCGCAATCAAAGCATTGATGATTTCCTAACGTAGGAGTTTACCATGCACCTCATGTCTCTGCGCTGACGTTTTCTCTTGTTTGGCATATTTGTTACAATTATGTATGTATTTTCCTTTAGCCTTCTGACACCGTAATATTTTCATCCTTTGCAGGATGCACATAGTGGATCAGTCCTTCATGAAAACTTGATCCTAAAAATGGTTGACAAAAACCTATTTTTTTACCTTCTATCATGTGCTTTCATATAAGTCCGATCCAAACAGGGTTTTATTTACTTATGAGACCTTCATGGGTGCCCTATTGTTTTCAAAAAAAGCCCTTAACAACTGAATAAAGTCAACCTAAGTATTATACTTTTAGCTTTTCAACACAAATGCATTATTTTTCTGGCCAGTGTTTTATCTTTTTTTAGGGCAGTTGGGATGGGGGGGGGGGGTGGGTTAAATATGATGTTGTGAAGCAGAGATGCCAGTTGGTATTTTTACTCTGGCTGCTCATAAAAGTTACAATCCAAACATATCATGCTGTGTCTTTGAGGACTGTAGTGTATTTTATGGTATGCATCATGCACTAGTTAGTACTGACAGAGTTCAGAATATTTAACTAATGTTTCATTCTGTATTTGTAAAAGTTTTCCTGTTCAGTCCCAGTTTAAGGTAAAGTTTATATTACTATGTCTGAATAGGCCCGAAGTCTTCTGTAACATAAAGTCTTGTTAGGTTAATCAATATAGTGTTGTTACATTAATCAGTATAGTTTTGTTAAATTAATCATTATAGTCTTGTTATGTTAATCAGTATAGTCTTGTTACGTTAATCAGTATAGTCTTGTTAGGTTAAACAATATAGTCTTGTTACATCAATCAATATATAGTCTTCTTACGTTAATCAAAAATGTATTTTAGGGATTTCTGATATTTAGTAGAAGTGAGTGGGTAAGAAGTTAAGAAACTGGTACCCAGTGTCAAGGAATATTGGTTCAAATCTATTGTAAGGCAGTGGAGTTTTATTTGTACAGGATATCTGATTAGTTTCCATACGTAGAAAAAAATTCTTTTTTTTTTTTAAATGAAAACCATCTTTATATATAACATGCTCTACATTATAACATTATTTTACACACATTTCACTGCCTGTCGTCCACTGCTAAAGATTTCAAAACACATTTCACTGCATGTCATCCACTGCTAAAAAAACACATATAAAATCATCGGGAGTTATGCTTGTAATGCGTCGGTGATACGTTTATGTTTCCTGTGTATGGAAACTTATGAGATATCCAGTAGAAAGTGAAGCATGTGGCCCGTACCAATGTGATGTGGGCAGACAGACTTTATCATTTAGCTCTTAGCAAGTCCATTTTAACAGGCAGCGGTACAAAATTATATTTGTTGGTTTTTTTTAAAGATATTTTGTATTTTATTGATATCTACTTTGCAGTAGACTGTCTGTTAAACCAAAAAGTGATGAAAACCAGCCATTAAACATTTGGCAGGAGTGGCACAAAATTATGTTTATTTAGATGTTTTGTATTTTATTTATATTCACTTTGCAGTTGACTGTGTGTTTAACCAAAAAGTGATGAAAACATGCCATTTTTTAAGTGCCAGCAGTGGTAGAAAATTATGTTTATTTAGATGTGATATATTTTATTTATATTCACTTTGCAACAGACTGTGTGTTTAACCAAAAAGTGACAAAAACAGTGATGGCGTCAGTCAAACTGATACCAAGAAATTAACCCACTGAACCTTGACTGAAAAGGTTAATGTGACAGAAAGGGGAAACAATTAATACACGCAACAAAAAAAAAGATGTTCTGCCGGAGCCTTTCTCGACACAAAAGCTGGATTTTGTGTCGGGAAAGGTTCCGGACGAAACGTTTGATTTTTCGTATGTGTGTGTGTTCTTCATTTTCAAGCTTAGTCTCAGTTAAGTGGATTAATTTGTGTGTTTAACCAAGAATGTTTATTTAGTAAGTTATTATATTTACATTATCTATTCCTGAGTTGTGTTACTGGGTGTTTTTTTTTCCAATTTCTGCAAATCATATGTGACCTGAATGTAATTAAATTAACTTACATTTAAACATACTAGGTCTACATGTAAAAATCAACATTGTTATGTTGCCTGCATATGTACAATTTTTGGTGCCTTCAGTTAATCTTGATTGTTCTGTTTTTGATTTTAGATTATTTTTGACCTTTATTTCTGAACATGTTCATTGAGACAAGGCAGTCTCCATGTTTCAAATATCATGCATATATTGTTTTCTTGGGCAGGAATAGATAATTGTCAGTAGATTATTTTCATTAGATAAATTATCATTACAATGTTGATCAGTTGATCTCTTCTTCTTCTTCGCGTTCACCAGCTGTAAACTCTGGCGGAAAGTTCTGGTTGTTCGTCCACTTCTTGACTTCAGTCCTGTTCCAGAACTTGAGTGTTGGTGTGCATCCGTTTGACAGATCTGACTAATCTGTATGCAGACTTTTGGTTACTTGCCTCTCAGGCAGGTGAACTCAGACTTTGTAGGAAGCTCCCAATTAGTCTACTCTTACAACATGCTTTTGGGTAGGCAGTGGGTCTATTCTTGTTTTCCCTGTAACAGGGCCCAGGAACCCAGACGGGAAGATCAGTTGGTCAGCCTATATGTATTTAATGTAGTGCACATTACTTTGACTTAATCTCTCCTCGTATACTTTAAGGTGTAGAGATTTTCTGGCTTTGCTCCATTTGAGCTCTCTTTTAGTCAGGGACTGTTAGATTTTGTCTTCCCATTGAACCCTGGTTCATCCTGGTGGTCTGGTTCCCTGGTTCTTGGCCTTCCATGCCTGCCGTAGTGGCTGATTCTTTCCATTCTGCATATATTTCCAAACCACCATAACTGAGACTGATCCACTCAGGTACGTAAAGCCAGGGTATCAAGGTCATGACGCATTGTCTGATTGCGAACTTTGTCACGTGGACCATCTTACTTTCCCAGATACCTTGTTTCTAAGGCCTGATGCAGGCTTATGTGAGCTGTTGTCATGTGAGCTGTTGTCATTTGAGCTGTTGTCATGTGAGCTGTTGTCATGTGAGCTGTTGTCATTGTCAGACTTGTCCACTACTCTTATCCATGTGTCAGGATCTGGCACCTAGGCAGACTAGTAGACAGCCAGCCATTGCACATAATTTACATGAATTATTGTTAGAAATTAATTATCAAACTTTTCTTTTTGTTTTCTTCTTCTTTACGTCCTCTTTTACCACTTTGGATGTCAAGGGAGATATAAGGTCGTGCTTCGTGCTTTGTTTTCACCTGCAGTAAAATACACATTTAATGCCAGGTATTTGGCAACAGACCACTTTGCATTGATTTAAACAATGGCACGAACATCGACCATTCAGAAAGCAGTTGTAAATTACTGAACTTAAAATTGTCTAGTTAAACCACGGATTGCCATCAGATGGTGGATTGAGTTTTTGATGTCCTAAAAATTACATGCAGTTTTTTGTGTTTTTATTTCAATGTTAAGTACTGGTTGATGTTTTTTTAAGCTCTTTGAAAATTTTTTTTTAATTTATTTATTTTGTACGCCAACTAGTGACACCTATCCTATGTGATCTATTTTCATATGTTTTATATATCTGAGATACTAGAAGTGCATTACGTATGGACTTTATAACATATTTTGCAATGCTTGTTAGCAGTTTTAACTTAAATAAATACTCATATTTAGTTTGCTTAGATTTACATCTGTCTCAATTGCTAATTGCATGTTATTTAATCATTGCCTAAATTCTCATCGTCTGAAATCCGGTTTTAAACAACATCATCATCACCTGGTTAGTCAGCCTCAATGGTTTTGAAGTCCTATCATGTTGTTATCTCCTTTTATCAGCCAAAAATCTTCAGCTGGGGTAACCCCAATGTCCTCACGTGCATATACAATGTCTTTGTTGCCTGAATCTGTTTGTTTTTGGTTCACTTCATTTTCTTTGTAAGTATCTAGGCTCTATTTTGGAGAGAAAATGAGCACCTGAACTAGAGATATACTCTAAAGTCAGGCTGCCAGAGGGGTAGTTATAAACATCATTGGCACACACCGAAATCTTCCACACTGTGGAGTACAATCACAGAGAAAAAAAACTGAAACATTAGCTACCTCTGTAAATCAAAAGAGTTGTACACCTTCTCCTCAACTTACTACCTATGCTACTTATGACCATCTGCACTTTTGACCATAAAAGAACAACTGGTAAATAAAGAAAGATAATTACACTGGTCAGATCAAACAGTTCCCGCAACGGATGCACTAGAGTGCTTATTATGTTGTCGTTTTTTTTACCACATTGCGAACAGTAATTATACGTACATAAGATAAATTTTTTTTATTTTATGTGTAATTGTTATAACCCATTTATTTGAATGAAAATATTTGTGAAAAAAACAAATTTGACTAACGATCAGTTTGGCTTAGACTTCCCCAAGTCAAGGAGACCCTGTACTATGAAAAGATTGCTATGCAATGTATAGTAACCCCCCCCCCCCCCCCTTCCTCCCCCACTACCCCAAAAAAGATTTTGTAAACTAATAATTGGTTGTCTGATACAAATAACCACTACTTACAATATATTTTAAGGTATTTACAACTTACCACAATTTATGGGCAAATGATTATTTGTAAGCAGGTTTTCGTTTTCAATAGAATGTAACAAATATCAGTTTAGTTTTTATTGGCTTTTTGTTTTTGTTTGTTGATTTCTATTCTATTGATTTTATTTGAAGAGTGCTTTAAAAGGGTAGTTACCATGCTAAGTAAGCATTACATATTTCATGTGAAATATTTATTTGTTTTCTTGTTTTCATTTCTGATTATTTTATTACAGTGTCTGTTATTTATAGGATTTGAGACGGTTCTAAACTAGTGGACTCTATACAAAATTCTTAACAGACTGGTAGTGGGTCTATCCCCCACCCCCCCACCCCCTCCCCACCAGTTAGGCCTTGGAACCCACACATGTGGTTTCC